AGTGAATAAAGTATTGTAATCATGAAAAATTTCGGATGTCATATTTCATTGAAAATATCCATTTTGATTACTATCGAATGCAATTTAACGGTGTTTTTGCGTGACATCTGTACCTAAGGACAGATTAAAGGTCTCTTTTTCGCCAAACGAATTATAAAATTCATTTAATGTAGATTCAAAAAAAATTTTTTTTTTCTAACCTCTGTTCGTACGTATCTCGAATACCTCAAAAACGAGTAGCCTCAGAACGTTAAAATTTTGTATATAGGACTGCAATAACATGTACTTGTATACCTCCTTTTTTGGTTACAATCGTCTGCACCAAAAGTGTATATATATATATATATACACTTTTGGCACTTATATATACACCCACTCTGTTACTCGGCTCGGTGAGTTTGGTTTTTTTATTCTTATATGTTGGTAAATTGTGCATATTTTGTTTAAAAATGATTGAATTATATTGTTCTTATCTTGCGGTTAAGGTTTTTATACCTTTAATTTATCTGCATGCAGTAGTTATAGAATTATTAATTTAAAAGTTGTTTAAGTCCGTCTAAGCCTATTTTCTTTTTACTATAGCAGCCATATTTGTTTGCATTTGAAACTTAGCAGAATAGTGAATTAAGTCAGTTTCGCAAGTGGGACCAAACGTAAACTTTCAATTTTGTGCTCCGAAAAATCTGCCTTCTTACCCGCTAGCCGAATTGCTTGTTTTGGGGCAGTAACCTTTAATTGTAAAATTTGTTTTAACTATATTTGGTGTTTTATGTTTTTGTACATTTTCCAATTTTTAATGATGTTTTGACTTTTTATGTATTTTTTCCTTCCTGCGAAGTGAGAACTGAATTAATTGAATGAGAAAGCTATCTCTAATGAAATACGTTTAAATGAAATGCATCAAAAAATGAATTTTAATATTCCGTATAAGGAATATTACATTATGGTTTAATATTCCGTATAAGGAAGTCATGTGGTGTCTGCATCGTATTTTTTTCTAAGAGAGCAATAAGAATTAGTAAGATTAAAAGATGCATTTTTATTGTAGCAACACGTTGAATGCAGAATTTTTACATTTTATAAATCCTAAAGTTAAAGAAACAGGCAGTGCATAGTATTGCAATATTTTATTATTTCACTGAGTGGAAAATAAAATAATATTCACAAAGTAATATTATCCGTTTCAAATCAATTACAGTTGAGCTTACGTTTTTCCCGTCGTAAATCTTCAGATTTCCAACATCTTCGTTGATTTTATTATTGTTGAAAACTATTCAGTTTGCTGTTTATTTCATTTTCCTTTACTCGCATTAATATAGTCTGAAAAGACCTAAAACAGATTGTTCTTAGTAACTGCTACTGCCTTTAAAATGTGAGGAACAACTTAAGATATCAAAAGGATTTTTTGTGCTATGTGACATATTGAAATTCGAGGACCTTAAAAATCTGATTCATAGCATAGAACATAAGTGTAAAATTGCTAAAAACTTGTCACAAACTCCGTCATTATGTTATGTTTACCAATGCTTATGAGTAACGGTGTAAGTTATTCTATTAATATGCTTACGTTAGCTCATATGATACTTAGAAGTTTAATGAGCAAACTGTAGGATGATCACTCGCAATCTAATTAAAAGTATTGTTACGAAATGTACAGGCGCAGTAAGATGGCTTCCCCGCAAGTTGCCATAAGATGGCAAGCGACGACAGGCTCTGCCACATTTGCCGAGAAATCGCCCATTTGGCGACATGCCATGGACGGATGGAGAACCTTCTGGAACGAATTCTTACCGGTTTACCCCAGAATGTTCTCGAACACAAGACGAAAGCTTTATAAACCTTGCTGGTCCACAGTGAGTTAGTGTGTCGTCTAACGAGTTGATAATCAGTTAGAGTGTGCCTCGTCGAGAGGGCGAGTGTGTGTGCCTCGTCTAGAGTGCGAGATAGTTAGTGTCTCGTCGTTTAGTCAGTCCGTGCGGAGTCGATCGAGTTGACAGCCGGGCTGCGAGTGCCTAGTGTATCGCGGTTAGTGCATCATCGAGAGAGTGTGTTAAGCTCCGGGAACGACTGAACCGAAGAGTCGGGATCTGTGCTCTGTGTGTCGTCGAATGCATCGCGAGCTGTAGCGTGGAGAGTCTCGAGAGTACGTGGAGTTCCGAGAACGACCGAGCAGCTGGTGCTTTGCAGTGAAGCTGTCTCTATTTGCAGTGAAGCTGTCGTTGATTGTGTCAGCGTATTCATAGTAGTTCTTCGACGACTGTAACGTGATTTTGGAGCTGTTCTGATTAATATTGATAAATAAAGTGTGTTTCGATACTTCATCAAGTATCGTCGTTATTCACTTCAAATCTACGAACCCCGTACGAACGTGAAGGGAGAAAATAACGTAACAACTGGTGTCATAAAAAAAAGTAACACTATTCTCTGGCCAAATAACAATGCATATGTAAGTTAATACAGCAATTCTTATTACCGCAAAAGGGATGCTATGAGACGCTTACCCTATTCCCGTATGGGTTATTAGTCTCAATACGGCATTTTGCGTTGAATCACTATAAATGGCATATCATTTTTCAAATTGTTGCCACCCATTATTATCGCACTGTATTGTATTTAAATAAATTAAACAGTGAAAACTCTCCATGAATGTATGTATGTTTCTCGCATTGTTATAAAACAACGGTACCTACAGCCATCCAATTTTGAATAACGTAGTCATCCACTCGAGTATAGGCATCTGGAAACCCGAATTTGGAATGTGTTTTATTGTCTATTTCATATTTTGTAAAGTATTTATGACTCTTTGATTAAGAAACTTAACGATTTCAAAGCGGGCAATGTCAACATTATATGCCGAAAAAAAGCAATTTTATCTCCAAAGCGCAAGACTGGCTATCTTGAAATTCCAAAGATGTGGTGTTTTTAAATATTTTGTGATTTTGCCGTTGAATCCAACGTGATATTTAACAAATAAAACGTCAACAGGAACGTGAGATTTAATAAATAAAATGTACGAAACGTTAATAATGGAAAAACAAAAAAGTTTTGTAAAGCTATCTTAGTAAGAAAACTGAAAAAAACAGTATGACAATACTTAACTCTGCATTGGGAATTCTAAACATATACTATTATGCTGCTTGTAAAATTTTTGTGCTTAATAATTAAAATAATAAATCTAAAAAGACAACGGTACTTTACCGTTTCGCAGGCGCAAATCTTGATAAGCAGACTTTATTGGCGACAACATACAGTATAAACATAAAAAAAAATTTTAGTTCTAAGAATTTTTTATTTTGAAGGTATAAACATTTTAATGTCGTTTAAAATTTTTTTAAAAAGCCAATAAATAAAGGCAGTAAATTTGTAAAAAGACATTAATTTAAGAATTTACCATGCTTTCGTAGTACAACATCCTGTTTCGTCGGTTCATATCAAGTAACCGCAAGTGATCTCATCTCACATAAATTATGCTACAAAAATCTAATTCTCTTAGTAATTATCTACATTAATATCAAGTTAAATCTTAATTTGGAATACAAGTTTAAATGCAAGAATTATTTCAATTCGTGTACGAATGACTTACTGAGAAATCGTGTAAAACCGCAGTGCTTTACTTCGCTAGTGCATTCTCATTAGAAATGATGAGTTTAACCCTTGACTCAGTGGCGTAGCAAGCCTAACTGGCGACCGGGGCAAAATACTTTTTTGGTGCCCCCTCCCCCAAAAAAACACAGTAATATAGGAAATAATGCAAATAATAATAAAATGCTGAATCTGCCATAAAATACTCCGAAATATATTAAAAGAATAGTCACTACCTAACTGCACTAGCATTGGATTCGGAAATGTATCTATGTCGGAGGAAAAATCAGACCATACGATGATCTAGGATTAGTTTTTAAAGTATTATTTGTTTTACATATTTTTATAATTGTTTTTAAAAAAGGACAATTTTTAAACAATTAAAAGTTTAATATATATTATAGATAAGTAGATATATTTATTAATAATAGTGTAATATTATAATACAGTTAATTACTATGTATACATTTTTCTTGCCTTGGATGAAACAAATTTATCAATTACTTCATCAAAATCGATCCTTTTAAATTTTTCTCTTTCCACATTTAAAAATGCTAGATGACTTAGAGAAACTTGTTCCATCGTTGATTGTAAATATGTTAAAATTTATATTAATTTATTGAACGAACGTTCATTTGATAATGAAATAGTAAGGAGTATTTGGAGTGCGACTCTTAGGTTTAGAAAAACATTTTCTCTATAGATCTGTAATGAAATCTTAGGTTCCGTTTCTTTTCTACTACGGAGTAAAATCTTGCAGTCACATTCACTGCTCAAAACAATTGGGTAATATGGTGGGTTCGGTATGAAATAACCATATAATCGACAACCTTTCTAACAAGAAGAAAAAGAAGAGATTATAAAGGAAAATTATACCGTTTACGAAGTTCAGAATATGCAGATTTAGTCTGTGACGTCGAAAACTATGCGTTTTAGATAAGGAATAAGTAGCGACCTGCAGCATTCCTTTTGTAGTAGGAGATTAAAAGCAATCGACATCCGTTGAATGCTTTGTAGCAGTGAATATGCGATGCCTCAACAAGATGACTTAGCTGAATCGGTAGCCAGGAAGGCCGTCAGTCGTTTACTGGAAAGTCACAAACGCAATCCATTGTAGCGGAAGCGTTAGGATCCCGGGGCATCATACACCCCCTTGCTTCCCCCTCGCAACGCCCATGGAGGTAGGAAGTAAGATCCTTTCCTATCTCCATGGCTACGCCACTGTCTGCCTTTTCTATATTTTCACCATCGGGTGAGCGATGTCATTGCTTCCTAATTGATTTAATTACCGCGAATGGCCTTAGGGGCATAAAATTGGAGCTATCTGGTAAAAATTATATGTAATTGTATGCCAGTATTGAAAGAAACAGTCAATCTGATAAAAAAATGGCTGCTACTTGTTTTGAAAATGAGAAGTAAAAAGTTACCAGCGAGGATATTCCGTTTGGCATGGGCTGTACCATTATTGGAGGCTTTAATCGCAAAACGGAAAAGTACCAAGACACCAAAAAAAATGGGTTAGTAGGAGTAAGTGTAAGAGCAGACTGTTAGACTGCGAGCTCAGCGTGAGAAAACTTTAACAAACCCTTTTGGGCGGCCGCTAAAATCCTAAACGTTTCTGACTTTTTTTTTTCCCTGTATTTCTGTATCATTAAGTCGTTTCTAATTCCTTGTTTTTTTTTTTTTTTTCCAATCCTCGCAGATGTACGTGAACTTCCAGAAATATGAGCTGAAGCACCCAAACAACTGTGAGCTCAACTTCATTGACATCTACGAGCAGACCCTGAGCGACGATACTCGAATGGCCCAGTTCTGTGGCACAGCGACGGAACCTCAAAAGTCAGATGGCAACCTCGTTTACGTCCGGTACTTCGCGCAGACTGAGGCTATAGACGGGAAATTTGAAATCGTGTACACCGCATTCAGAGAATCTGGTAAAAATTTCACGTAAAATCTATTTCTTTGTAAAATCAAGAATTGATACTAACATACAAGGTGTGACACAAAAAGAAAAAATCGAGACTAGTCCAATAAATCATTGTACTTGCAGAATAAGTTCTCCGTGACATTATCACCTTCAAAGTAGTTCCCTTCAGCATTCACACACTTCTACATTCGGTGCTACCATTGCTGGTAACAGTTCTGGAAGGCTCTTCAGGAGATTCTCCATTTTAGCCTTAACTTCTTCAGCTGATGTAAAATGGGTTCCCTTTAAGTAAGATTTAACTTTAGGAAGTAAAAAAATCGCATGGAGCCAAACCAGGTGAATAAGGAAGATGCCCCATCACAGTATTGTTCTTGTTGGTTAGAAACTGCTTGACAGACAGGGCCGTGTGAGCGGGTGCATTGTCCTGGTGCAACAGCCATCCATCACCCTCTAACTGTGGCCTTTTTTTCCTAATTTTTACACGAAGCCTTTTTAGTACTTCAATGTAGTAGTGTTGATTAACAGACTGACCACTGGGAACCCATTCAATCGTAATGAACCCCCTTAGGCGCCCAGCACATTCCTCATCTTCCACACTGTCCCTCTCCCTTGGAAACCGCTTATGCCATTCAAGCATACGTGCATGAGACAAAGTTTCATCTCCATAAGCCTCGGTTAGCATTTGAAATGCTTCTTCCGTGGCTGATTTCTTAAGTTTCACGAGAAACTTGATGTTGATTCGCTGTTCAGTTTTTACATTAGACATTTTTACATGTTCACTCAATGGCTCAGTACTCCCAAATGGTGCGGTCGGTTAAGTCAAAGCTGGCCGCATGGATAGAGGAGGTGTGTGACATGACGTCATCAAAACAGTTGTTACGAACTCCGCTCTGTTTTCAAATTAGTCTCTTTTTGTGTGTGTGTGTGTGTCACATTTTGTATTTCATGAAATGAGAGGAAATAACTTAAGTTCGCACTTTTTTAACTATCTCTAAAAAGTGGCTGGTATGTCTTGGATTTGTTGGCTAATTCCTCTTTGCTAATTCGTAATATGTCTTGGTAGGAATTTGAATTTTAAAATTGTTATACCTGCTTTGCTTGTCTAGCTACAGTTAGATCTTTGCTTGGCGAGCTAACATTAAATTTTTATTGGCTTTGAAAGCTTCCAATAAATACAAAGGGTGTTCACACATGTTTGTAACGATTTTGACTTTCTCAATGAATTTAAATACTGATTTTAAAATATAAACGCGACTGTCTTTCAATTGGAATAAGATTTAATTATCGTCTGCAATATTAAAAGTATTCTTTTCTTTAAAATGTCGCTGAAAAATAAGCAATGGATCGAAAGCTATATTTTTGCGCTGTCCGAAGAGAAATACTCTTATTCAAATATTAAAAAAAGATGTTAAAAGCATGATTTTAATATTCCTGCACGTAAAATAAGTGACATAATTAACATGAAAAGAAAAAAACGTCAAATTTTACATCTGACCGAGAAAAAGGCAAAAAATGCACACTCAACAAAGGTAGGTACAGCTCTTACTAACTCTAAAGTACCCCTCCCCAAAGAGCTATTGCAAAATCTTTAAATATCTCGGTAGGAACTATGAACAAAATTTTAAATTCCGATTTAAACCTAATCAAAACAAAAAGCATGATGTTCTTCGCCTAAAGCTGAAACATATTTCTCAGCAGAAGATGGATTGTTGTACGAATATTGCTTGGCAGGTGAAAAATGGAAACATATAGTTGCAGTTGATGACGCTTGGATATAATATACTTATTCGATTGCGATAGAAAAGATTGACTTACTACCGAAAAAGAGGAGAAAAGATTTAATATGTCGGTTCAAAGAAAACAATAAATGCTTTTCTAAAGGTTTTAGGGTTATTACTGGATTCTCTTACAACGGAAAACTTAAAATAAGGAAAGTGGGAAAAAAATGTCAAAAATTAATTCGGATTACTGTCAGAAATATGTTTTACCTCTTATTTTTAAAGAAGAAATCCAATCTCTTTATCCAAACAATCTTCACTGTGTTGAGTTCCATGAGGATAAGGCTCCAAGCCATACCTCTAAATCTACCGCTCTACTTTTTGAAAAAATGAGAAAAGAAAGCGGAATTGAAGCTCTTCCCTTTAAATGCATCCAACCTAAGTCCCCTGATGTGTCTCCTATGGATTACTGTGAATCTGGACTTTTAAAACAAGCTTTTATAAGCGGCATCCTTAAACATTGGATGGGGCCCACCAGCGGCCGAGCGGTAAAGTCGCTGAACACTGGTAGTTCGGTCCGAGGTTAGAATCCCGCGAACGGGCTGGCTGCATGGGCGTTTTCGTGGTTTTCCCCATGTGTAACGTGTATACGAGCCAGTTTCCCTTAGAAAGTCCTCCACGAAGGCATCCCTCCCCTTAGGCAGATAGCCCTAGTGTGCTTTGCCATAATTAAATACACCACACCTAAACATTGGATGGACACTGGAAGATTGTGAAGGTGGAGTGGAATAAAATCAACCTTGATGCTTTAAAAAATGTCTTTTATCTTGGAAATCAACATGTAATACGATAGTTCAGCAAAAGAGATACCAGATTGAATATATCAGAAAATAAAATTCTAAGGTTTGTTTATAAATAAATCTTTAAAAAATCGTTAAAAAAATATGTGAACACCGTATGTAAAAAGCCTCCTTATGACCTTCCTTTTTCTCTTTCACATCGGTTCACAACTATTTTAACTTATACTGGAGGTTCTTAACTTATATTGCAGGGCAGCTGCTTTTAGTAAAAGGAGAAGAACGAAAATAAGATCCATCCACGGACCTTATAAGAGGTAGAGTAACCCAATGGGCGGAGCATGTGGGCCCTCTTTACGCATATAAGCATTCTATACCGCACCATGCGCATAGGGAAAAATCCGTACTTGTGATCGGACTTGCATTCTGATGCCATAATTTTCTTTTGGTACAATGACTTTTAGACAGGATTTTTACAGTTCTATTTTCGATCAATGACACGGAAGTGTGAAAATTATCGTTTGTTTTCTTTGAAACGAAAAAATTTAGCTGCACTGTTTTGCAGATGTCTTTGTTTCATCGAATTATAAAATCTTTCTAAGATAGTGTTGATATCAGATGCAATCTTAAGTGCTTAGATTATATAAATAGACCTCTATCCAACTATTTGGCAGGTGTGCTAATAAGTATATTATATTATTATTGCAATTTTGTTGCATTCTGTTCCTTTCACATTGCAAAAAATATTTCTTTTGCAAATGTTATGTTATTTTTATGTTAATGTCCATGTAATTTCTAATATTCTTTTTGCTTTAAATGAAAGAAAAAAGTGCATTCAGTATTGTCGCTGAATTTAATGCACGTGTATAAGAAAAGAAACTTCTTTCTCTGCCAAACACTATTTTATGCAAAGGTATAAAAAATTTTACACTTTACAAAGTACACAATATTCACAGAGTAAAATTACTCAATTTAAAATACGTATTTCTTTTTTTGTTTCAGATCTATATTAGTCTAACTTCAAAAATAAATTTTACTATTTTAGCCTGATTATAAATATTGGGAATTTACAGTGTTAGCTCCCAACGTCGTTTTTGCTATTTCCGAAAAATGGCTTGTCTCATGCTTTCGGAGATTGCATCCGCAGAGAATGGATATATAATGAACATGAAATAGTGAATTAATGATCACACTTTTTAATATGAAGGGTTTTAAATTAAGAATGTATTTATTAAAAATCTCTGCACTTTATATTAATACACATATTAGTAGGGCGTTAGCACAAAAAGAAATAATACTTTTTCTCTCTTAGGGGCAGACTACATTTTTTTACATTAAATTCATCATAGTACAAAATTTTTGTAAGAAGTGTTATCTCATAGCAACAAAAATACAATGCATATAATAATCTTTTTGGTACTGCTGTCAAAATGTAAACAAACAGTATAGAGATGTACCCTCAAGCCCAAGCAAGGTCAAGGCGTTCCTAAGCACATTTTTTTCATGCGTAATTCTTTTATAAACATCTTTATTTAAGTAAAACAATAAAACTCTAAACACAAAATTTATGAACTTACTTTTGTGTTCAAATAAAGTAAAATTAAATAAGATTGATAGTGTACAATGCTTTGAAACAAATTAGGTAAAATTAAACAAGATCTGATAATCTTTTAAAAAATTATATCAGCATTTTCAGGCAGTGGTTTTTTAAATTATTATAACATTACAAAATGATCATTTATTTGATTATGTGATTATTAATTAATTATGATTATTTATTTTAATAATTCATAAAATTTGGAGCAAAAACTTTTCTCAGTGTAATGAAAAATAAAATGATCACAATCAAATAAATGATCATCTTGTAGTGTAATAATACACCATAAATAACAAAAATCTTATGCAGAACGAAAAATAAATTAAAAAAAATAATCACTATAAAATACTAGCTCAATTAATTATTACAGTGAAATAAAATTTTTAATGTTAGAATAATAAATGTATAAAAATTATTAAAGTGTTAAAAGTGTTTATCACTATGATGTATTGTGAAATATAATTGAAATAAGACTCTTTTAAAGAATATTATGCTGTAATATTCACCTATAATTTTAATAAAGCAGCAGAGCAATTAAAAATTTTAAAGAAAAATTTTCAAAAACTCATTTTTAGACATTTTGATATTTTTACTTTAGACATTTTGGTATTTTTGCTTATCTACACCAATCAATAAAAAGCATAAAAATTGTAAGAGAAAATTGTTTGTTTGAATTTTTCTGTTAGTTCGGATTTAAAATATTATTTTCTGAATGTAGTAATTACAAATTTCCTTACGGCTAAAAAATATACAGGCCTGAAAGCATGCAACAGCTATATAATTATTTGAAACGTTAACTCTTTGAGCGGCAGGAAAAGGCAATTAACTTTTCACAAAAACTTTTGTTTTATTTTGAAAAACTTACTTTTTGTTTTTTTTTTAAAAAACTTTTGCTATATCAGGTGTTATAATGAAATTATTTGCGACAATTACACATATTTTGTTCACGACACGTGAAAAAAATGACTACTTCTGGTGGTTAGTGTCAGTGACCACCGCCCACAGAACACATCCCTACAAACCAGTCTCTGTGGTACTCATGGAAACAGTTCGTCTTTTTCAAGCAGAGTGCAAATTTGCATGTGCTACAGTGCACTTTGTCTTGATGTTGTCTTCGATAACTGGTGCTTATTTTCTTGAAGACAAATTGCTGCAACAACTACTGGCTTTTCTTCATTACCATTTAGTGAGCTACAAGGGAACTTCAGAAATGGTCAGTCTTGAAAACCACTTGCACGAGTAAGTACGACGTTCAATAGAAAAGGTGTTTACTATAGGTAACCACCACCCTTTAAAGAATTAAATATGCTTGATAAACATGCTAAATTTTTAAAAATCAATCTCAGTTTTGTGAAATGCGTTACCACCAGCATTTTCTTGACAATTTTATATGTGCTGCAATAACCAACCATTGTTAAGTTTCTGCAGGGTCTTCCCTACTCCTTCGGATGTGGTCAACCATGACAGCTGCTGTCAAGATAAATGGGTCTTTTACCCTTGACAGTCCTTGACCACTTGATACAAGACTAGTCAAGAGGGTCATTGACGATTGACCACTTGATTTAAAACCACTCAAGATAAGTCAGTCCTTGACGGTCCTCCAGTTGTTGTGGTCAAGGGAACAGCCGGCAATGCATGGGGAAGAAACACTATTTGGGTTCGTCTATTTCTTATAAGGTCTATGGATTCATCCCAAACAATCTACACCAAGACATCACTGTGGCCTTCTTCAAACTGACCACAGACCATGACTACCTCCAGGTGTATCTTGCACTCCTTGGCATGGGTAATTTCGTGGGCTTAGGCAGACACGTGAGCATAAGTAACAAAACACTGGTAGTTCGGTCCGAGTTCGAATCCCGCTGAACGGGCTGCCTGCATGGGCGTTCTCGTGGTTTTACCCTATGTGTAATATGTATATGAACCAATTTTCCTTAGAAAGCCCACCATGAAGGCAACACCTCCCTAGGCAAATTAATTAAACATTAATCTATGTGGTCTCTATTGATGTCTACTGTTGAACTTTTCGATTTCCCAAACCCTCGCTAGAGCTATCTTAGGCTATTTTTAATCATTTCATGCGTTTATGTGGTAGTTTTATTCAAACATATGTAACATTTAATTGGTATTGTTTGTTTCATTTTGAAATTCACATTGATTTCAGAAACCTTTCCATTCTATTCTCGAGATCATGATTACAGAAATAATAAAATTCTAGAAAATTTTAGCAATGCAAGGTAAGTGATTGAAAATGCAGATGCTCCATCGAAGTTAGCTGAGTTCTTCTTGGTAGTTTCTTTTAGTAGGTTCTGTGCTATAAAATTAGTCACCTTCCTTTTTAAATAAAATTTTTGCATTCTGATAGGCCTACCAGCGGCCGAACAGTAAAGTAGTCGCTTAACACCGGTAGTTCGGTCGAAATCCTGCAAACGGGCTGGCCGCTTGGGCGTTTTCGTGGTATTCTCTGTGTTCAACATGCATACGTGAGAGGTTCCTTTAAGAAGTCCTCTACAAAGGCATCCCTCCCCTTAGGCAGATAGCCTTTGAGGCTTTGCCGTAATCGTATAAACCAAACCTTGCATTTTGATGACCCAAAAAGCCACAAGTATTCCATTCTTAGTCCATGTACTTCGATTTGCCTAAATTTACAGTTTCAGATTTTATTTAAGAATACTTCAAGTTTTTTTTTTTCTTCTAGATAAATGTGTTCCCAGCGAATTCAGCTGCGATGATGGTACTTGTATAGACAAATCTTTGAAATGCAACAAAATGTACAATTGCAAATACCGATATGATGAAGATCCTGCCCTTTGCACACCAGGTGAGACATCTTTTCTCATTCTTTTTAACGCTGAATATGTTCTCAAATGTCTTGGAAATATTTACATGCAATCAATAATTTTAAGTCAAAGAAAATTTTCAAATTATCAAAATACAACACTTGCATTTTGGAGCAATCTAAACTCCATTTGTCATACTAATTTGGAAGGTCTCTTTTCATCCCTTATAAATTTCTTGACAATAAATCACATACATTAATCAGTGTATTAAACATTTCTTACAAACAGATACATTAATCAGTGTATTAAACATTCCTTACAAGCAGATTTATATAGGTCCTGAAATAGGTCACATGCCATTTTCGCTACATCATAAAATACTATTTTCCCCAATATGGAAGATTCAATTTCTTACATTAAAGTTGTTGAAATTTGTATACCTTAGTGCTTAAACTTCTGCAAATACGATAGTCCTTAGCATAAAGAAGTAATAGTAATATATCTATCATAACTCAGCCTTTTCTTAACTTTAATTATTAAAATTGAAGAAATTATGTATGGAATTGGTTCCAAGGCAGCATGCCACCAAAAACAAACATATAATATTTTGTGAAAATAAAGGTGCAGTATTTTTGGCATGTTATTTTTACGAAAATTATACGAATAAGAAAAACTGAAGATATTGCTGACATTTAACATCATTTCCACAAGTTGTTTTTTGGAAAATTGTATAAAGCGAAATATACAAAAAAAAAAAAAAAAAAAAAAAAAAAAAAGAGCTACCGACATCATAATTCTTCAGTCACTACTTTTACGAATTTTAAAAACTTTGAAAAAAATTATTACTCAGAATATCTTCTTATTCTTAGATTCCACAATTGTTGTCCTCTTTCTTCGAACAATATGTCATAATTTAATTACTCTTATGTTTAAATAATAATATAAAATACACAAAATTGAAAATATAATTCTGATATTTTACATAAATTTAAATTGCTTCAATTACTATTATATCAATCCCATAAGACAAATTTTTCAGTTGAGCGAGTGTGCTTTGTGATAATTCTCAGTATCGTGCACATGTATTTCTGTGGAACGTTTCAGAACAATGATGTGTTTCTTCTGGTAAAATAAAGTATCAAACTATCATCAATTTTGTGTTTATTCAATCTATTGTGAACACGTATGCACGCAACAGTTTTTGACGTCAGAGGTGACAAGAGTGAGTGACTGAGTGCAGATGGGAGCAGTGATAGACGAGCAATTAAGACAACTGGTGACAGACTTTGCTGCATTCAAAGTAAAGATGGAAGGGGCCATCAACTCCATTCTAGAAGAGATGAAAGCTGTTACAAAAAGATTAATGCAAGCCAAGAAGAAATGAAAACAAATTACTTCTATAATAGAAAACAAATTCGCTATGTTATTTAGTGTTTTGATTGCTTAGTATCTTTCTCTTTATTATTTAGTCTTTCTGTCTTGCTTGTCTTACTCTCTTCATTATTAAATCTCTTGATAGCTTAGTGTATTTCTGTCTCAATTAGTGTCTCTCTTCATTACTTACTGTCTTCCCTCTTGAATGCTGTCTTTCTGTGTTAATTAGTATCTTGATTGCTTGGTGTCTTTGTCTTAATTACTTAATGTCTTTGTACTACTTAGCGTATTTCTCTCTTCATTATTTTGTCTTGATTGCTTAGTGTCTTTCCTATCTGTCTTAAATACTGTTTTGGTTACTTAATGTCTGTCTCTTCATTACGTCTTAATTACTTACAATCTACTTTTTGTCTTGGTTGCTTAGTGTCTTTCTGGCTTCATTACTTGTCTTATTCGGTGAGTGAGTGAACATGAGAGTGTGAGAGTCAGAGTGAAAGCTTCAGCGAGTGAGAGCGTGTGTTGGAAAGTGAGTAGGTGAATGATAGAGTGAGTGACTCACTCTCTCACACACTTACTCCCTCTCACTCAGGAAGAGTAGGGAATGAGACAGATTGAGAAAGAAAATGACATTGTGTTAGTGAAAGGGAAAGAACCGACGCTGTCCCTCTCTCATTCACTCTCAGTGAGAGATTGAGTGACAGAGTGAGTGAGCGAGAAATCGTGAGAGTGAAACAGAGCATGAGAGAGAGTGATTGACAGTGAGTTAATGAGTGTGAGTGGGAGATAAAGTGTGAGAGAGCGAGAAATATTGAGTGTCTCACTCTCGCAATCATTCTCACTACCCCACACTCTCAATCAATCCCTTTCACAGTCTCTCTCTTACTCTCTCACTCATTCTCTGTCATTCACTCCAACTCACTAGAGCGAGTAGGTGATTGAGGGAGTGAGAGAATGCGAGGGATTGAGAGCGGGTGTGTATGTGAATGCGCAAAGAGACGAGAGAGTGTGAGGCAGTGAGAGAAAGTGAGATTGAGTAACTGAGTGAGAGTAAGGCAGAGTGAGAGAGCGAGTGTGAGTGGGTGATAGAGAGCGAGAGGGATTGACAGCGGAGTTTGAGTAAGACAGAGTGAATGTGAATGAGAACAACTGACAGTGAGACAATCTCTCACTCAGATTGAGAGAGTGCAAGACAGTCATTGAGGGGGCACTCATTCTCCCTGTCTCTCACTCGCACACTGTTTCAATGAGAGAATGATTGAGTGATAGTGCGTGTGAGACAGTGAGTGCTCTCTTAATGACTCTTTCTTTCGCACTCACTGAGAGTAAATCTGAGAGAGACACTCACTCTCTGAAAACAGTGAGTGAGCGAGAGAATTACATTAACTGCGAGAGTGAGTAACTATGAGTGTGTGAGACATGAGTGTGAGAGTTTTACTCTCACAGACTCTCTGCCTGTTTCACGCTTTGTTACTCACTCTCACATACTCATTCCTTCACTCTCCTACTCACTCACACTCGTTCTCTCACGCTCTCCTTCACTTTCACCTAGTCTCAGTTACTCGCACTCAATCTCGCTCAGTCTTATTTCCTCACAATCTCAGTGAGTGAAGGTGAGTTTGAGAGAGTGAAAGATTGCCTCTCACTCACTGAATCTCAATATCACTCTTCCTCTCACTCGGTGACAGAGTGATTGAGAGAGCTCTCACTTCCTCACCCACGCTTTCAAAGAAAGAATAAGAGTGAGAGCATTGCAGAGAGAGAGGAGTCCTTTCAATCACTCTGTCACTGAGTGAGAGGAAGAGAGTGATACAGAAAGTCAGTGAGTGAGAGACACTCTCTCAAACTCACCTTCACTCACTGAGATTGTGAGGGAATAAGAGAGAGATTGTTACTGAGAGAATGAACGAGTGAGAGGCAGATTGAGTGGACGTGAAGGAGGGGGTGAGACAGTGAGAGGGATTGAATGTGAGAGAGTACGAAAGTGAGAGAATGTGTGACGGAATGTGAGACAGGGAGAGTGAGAGAGTAATTGAAACTAAAACTCTCGCACTCATTCTCTTTCACTCACTCTTTCTCATTATCTCTTTCACTCACTCTCTGTCTTGAAGTCAGTCAACAGTTCTTGAAGACTTTTTGTGATTTTCTGCTGGTGAGTTTTCAACTTCAGGCAACTACAGTCCTTTATACACTTTTTCTGGAATCTCAGTTTCAGCGCATTCGAGAGGGCGTTGAAGTTTGAAATCTGGTCTTCGGAGAGGATTCCTAGAGGCCTGTCCACACGAGTACACTTGCGACGTAGTTGCCGCAATTTTTTTCCGTCGGCGTAAATTCGTATTACGCAAAGGACGTAAAACCGAGTTCGCTCATATTCAGCTTTTTCACTCGCAATGTGAGCCAGTTTTGTCCAGAATGTTCTTGAACGCAAGCCAAAAGCTATATTAAGCCCTGCTGGTGCGTGGAATAGCAGTAGATCACGAGACTTTTTGTCAAGTGTCTCGTAGTCTATCGAGTTAACCGTGTAGTCTAGTCTCAAGTCGGTGCCTCTAGACTGTGCATCATTGAGGCTATCGAGGGCATCATGAGTTGTAGCGTGGAGAGTTTCGAGAGTAAGTCGAGTTTCGAGAAGTAACGAACCGAGTCCAGAGCTGTAATCTGGTGCTTAGCTATGGATCTGTCTTTCCCGTTATAGCCTAAAGTCTGTGTTGCCGATTGTTGCAGCATGTTTGTCGCAGTTTTTCGGCGACTGTAAACATGTTTTTGGAGCTCCCTCCGTAATACTGGCTAATAAATCGTGTTTTCATTCTTCAACAAGTGTTGTCGTTAACCACTCCAAATCTATGACCCCGTAGAAATGCAACAACTATGGTGAGATTCGAACTCGCGAGTTGTTATGTTTCTGTAGGGGTTTGTGGATTTGGAGTGATTAACGACAGCACTTTAAGAATGAAAACATGATATATTACCCGTTATCACTCAGTGCAGCTCCGAAAACACGTTTACAGTCGCAGAAAAACTGCGACAGACACGCTGAAATAATTGGCAACATACGCTTTCGGCTATAACGGGAAAGACAGCTCTACAGCAAAGTACCAGAGTACAGCTCCCGACTCAGTTCAGTACTTCTCAGAACTCGATGTACTCTCGATACTCTCCACACTGCAACTTGTGATGCTCTCGATAGCCTCAACGATGCACCAACTTTAGACTAGATTAGACGATCAACTCGACAGACAAGACACTCGACACACTTGCGATCTTCTACAAGACACATGGCAGTCTCATGATCAACTGCTACTCCACGTACCAGCATGGTTTTTATATAGCTTAATGTTTGCGTTCGAGAATATTCTGGACTAAACTGGTTCATGTAGCGGACGAAAAAGCTGAACATAAGTAAACTCAGTTTTACGTCCTCTGCGTTATGCGAGTTTATGTAACGAGAAAAAATTGTGGCAACTACGTCTCGAGCATACTCGTGTGGAGAGCCTTTAGGAGTCCTCTCCAAACACCAGATTTCAAACTTCAACGCCTTCTCAAATGCACTGGAACTGAGATTCCAGAAACAATGTGTAAAGAACTGTAGTCGCCAGCAGAAAATCAAGGAAAGCCTTCAAGAACTGGTGACCGACATCAAGAAGTTGGCGCATCAAGCATATCTAGACTGTGCACGAAAATCTGGCCCTGATGCATTTTGTCGATGCAGTCAAGGATGTGGAAATTCAGAACGCTCTCAGATAGGTGGATCTGAAAGACCTAAATCCACCTTGGCATATGTCATGAAATTAAAGTGGGATGTGGGTTCAAATCCCACTTTTGACACCAGTTGTTGCGTTTCTACGGGTTCGTGGATTTGGGGTGATTAATGACAGCGCTAGATGTCGAATGAAAGCACGATTTATTAGCTTATATACACAGTTCCTAAAACATGTTTACAGTCGTTCAAAAACTGCAAAAACATGCTGAAACATATGGCTTCAGGCTGTAACGGTGAAGACGACTTCACGGCAAAGCACTAGAGCTTCACGACAAAGCTCCAGACTCAGTTCGGTCGTTATCAGAATTCTGTATACTCTCGAGACTCCACGCTACAGCTTGCAATGCACGCTCACGCATGCTATATTTTGCGTTGAAACCTTTCAGAGTTTCTAAAATTATCCATATATTTCCATTGCCAGTTTCAATTCTTTTAAAACAACCATATCTTCAATGTGTCAAATTTAAAAATAAGTAGGTATAATTTTTAGAATACACTATTTACTATAGTATGCATAATTTCATAAATGTTAAGTATAATTTTGAAATTAGCTAATTAACACCGTGACACTGTCTGACAGCTCTGTCTAACAACGCGATTGGAATCAAAGAACCGATTCAAAGTCTACATCTGAATGAAGCAATGGTTCTGCAATTTTAGTGGCCAAAATAGGACATTTCATTACAATGTTTCAAGAATATATAAAGCTATCATCAAATATTATTGCTAGAATTACTGTATTATAAATTCTTTGATCTAGAATGGATGTAGTAATACTAAACGCTTATTTTCAATTCCTTTAAAAGCTTCCACGCTCATCAGTTCACCTTTCCTTTTCTTCTGATATTTGCAGTTGTGTACAAATCGACAATCCAAGTCACCAGTCTAATTGTGTGGTGGTAAGCTGAGAACCGAAGAGCATTTATTAGACCAACGGAATTAGTGTTAATCAAAGATATGTCTGAACTGACTTTCATGCATGCACTTTAAAACTGACTGAGAGAAAATAACATTTTTGTACATTTCTAGTCCGTAAATATCAAATATAATAAATTTTCTAAAAATTTTATACTCGTATTTTTGATTTATAAATTTCTATTTTTCATCACAGTAATTGCTAAATTTTGCAATACTAAATTCATAGATTTTTGAAAAACAGATATATGTAATGAACAACTGTTTGACTTCTTACTTTAGTTACTAAACTGTGGAAAATTTTAACACATGCGTGAAAAAAATGTGTCAACTGTGCTTTCTAAGTCTGTATCATATCTGATACATATTTTATTTTACTGATATGTTAACTAAACATGTTGGTATATGAAAATCATATGCATATAATTTTCAGATACCAGTGTGTATCTTAGACTCGTAATATACATAAATTTATAGAAGAAACATGGTGCTAAATACAATCTCTCACAAAAATGATAGGCCACTACAATTTTTTTTTTCCTTTTTAAGTAATTAGGAAAAAATCCTTGAAATACAATATAATGAGGAATGTTTTCTCTTTGAATACATATTTTCTTCCACTGTATGTTATTCTGCACAGTGCGGAAATTAATTTATTTTGCGGAACATATTTATTAAAATATTTTGCACAATGAATATTTTTTCCGCAAAATACTTTATTCCAGCTTGCTATCCTCAACCACAGAACTTTTAAGAGGAAAAGTTCTTTTTCTCAACTCAGAAATTCTTGGCCTCAAACGCATGTCGAAAGAAACATGTCCAGGAATCGTGCTTCTAAGAAATCTGTTTGGATGATTTAAACGAAAATCTTTCCGCTCTCTTCTTCCTCTCCTATACGAAGCAGAGCCGCAGGCAAAACATTTTCCTTAGTTTCATAAAATGTCTCGTGTACAAAGCAAAATTATGTTTGCTAGAAATTTTCCATTCAAACTTGTGCTGGAAGAAAGCATTTGTTGAAAAAATTTCTTATAGCATCACGTTTTATTATACCTGAGTAAAACGTGTGTCATTGACAGCCGTCCCGGAGAAGGAATGGATGTTTCTAAATGTATAGTGTCCGTGCGGCATGGGGGCAGTCTACATATGTGGCGAGCCGGAAGTCCTCTCGAGAGATTGGTGTAGGGGAAAAGAAGTGGGGGGACTCTCGAACCCCTCCCGCCGGGGTGAATTGGGGGGGCACAATTGAGCTAAACTGTACTGTCACCTGCAAGGTGCTTGAGGCTGTTGCCAACGACAGGCGTATAACTTTCGCTCTTTGCCACGGGGAATTTTGTGGGCTTGGGCTGACTATAGGTCAGACAAGCAAGCATTAGCAACAACACAGCAACCCCATAAGGTTCCAATGTACAGTACCATCTTCACAATGAGTGCTAAATCATTGAAGACAATCGACAATACTAGCAGTTTTGTTGATAAATACTGAGCAACTTAATTGTCAGAATGCGTTGGCCAGATATTGAAAAACATTTCTGTGAACTTAAACAGATTTCAGGATTTTCCCACAAATACAGTGCACTCATATATGTAAAGTTAGTTTCCTAAAAACATTTATTTCTTCATCTTTCCCATTTAGCAATGACGGCGAGTCGCATGCTAACTTCGGAGCATATGATAACAATCCTTGTTGTGTTCTTTGCCCTTGTGGTTGCTATGTGCGCATCTATAGTTATTACCTGTTACAATAAAGTCAAGGATCGAAGAGAAAAGAAGCGTGAATACAAGATGAGGCGCTCTAAAGAAGTGTCTATGGATGGAGAAATGGATAGGGTCCTCACTAATATGGATCCTGGACTGGAAGCTGCACTAGCCGCACAAGCAGCCGAGATCGGAGCAGCACGAAGGAAGGTACCACCTCCCAGATGGCTGGACGAAGAAGAATCAAACGGCTGTTATGTGCCTGAGGTGAGTGTCTCAAATCATATCATTTTTCTTGAAATATGAGAGCAAATAAAATGGTTCTTTAAGATACCTTCTGCTCGTCTAATAAATCTTCGATCAACTTTATGAATGAATTCAATACAACATATGCTACTAAAATAAAATAAAGATTTAAACTATTAGAAACGCATTTACTGTCTTTTAAATCACTCAGTCTGAAATCACTGTCACAGTACTCTGAAAAACGGTTATATGCAAAATGTGAAAGATAACTTAAATACCTTATTTTTGCACAATGGCATCGTTTGCCAAGACTAATAACTAAATATGTAACATAACGTAACGAACGTACCAAGCCCCCAAATTTTGGCCCTGCTAAGGACATTTTTGAAATCCGTAAAGAGAATCCCAAAGTTAGTAAAAGACTTTAATTGGAATTGGAATTGGAATAACCGTCATTGCATGATTTTGTAAGTTCTAATTCTACAAATAAATGCCATACCAAAAAATCTTAAATCAAATGTTTACTAATAACATCTTATTAGATTACATAATTTTAAAGAAAATTCTATTACATAATTCTAAAGGAAAGCACAGAGCCCTGTAAAAGTGGAGCTCATAATTACTACAACAAAGACTATACTCGTACGCAAAATTAGAGAATTTTCAAATTATATCTATTTTTATAAAAAGTATTGAACCAAAAGTACTAATATGCTTCCAAAGAAGCCGCCACCGAGAAGTGAAGATGTTCACCACATGGACTGGTCAGCCAGATCTCCTGAATACACAGCATGTCTGGAGCGGCTGGACTAAACAGGCAATTTCGTCTTGCCATGCCCCTCTAAGAACTATCTCAGTATGCCTCCTTCCTCAGTATGCTTCTCGGTATGCCTCCTTCCTGTTCAATATATCAACATGCTGTGTGACTTGTCTGAGAGGAGACCGTACTCCATATAACTCTCCTTTTCACTTGCAACAAATGTGTATCACTGCAATAAAATCACAGTATAGATTTTGGATATTCCTGCAAAAATTTATGCTTTACTAATAATCATGGGTACATAAAATGACCTTTGAATGGTACACTGAGCAAAAAAAATAAAAAGAGGGGACAGTTTTGTATATCTCGTTCTACTGGGCTGATTGACGAAATTCAAATTGCGTTTTTCATGTTTCGAAAGCGCGACATAGGATATATATTAGATTTATATATCCTCTGTTTTAAGATAAGGTATTTTGACAAAAAAATCGGAATTTTTCTGAAATGACATGCCCATATTTTCACATATTTCGATTCTACAACTCAAATTATGCCTAAATATTAAATTTTGTAAAATTTGGTGCGAAATTTACGGAGAAATTCAAAAATTTATCTTGGGGCATTTTTTTAAGTTCGCGCCGAGAATAACTCACTTGGCGAACTTCTTAATTTGCAGCAACCTATTTCCCTTATCTTTTTTTCATTGTAGACAAGCGGGAAAAAAGTCAGCACTCATATTTTCAAATAATTTTAACAAAGTGCGTAAACCACATATAACATATGTGGCTTACAACAAATATGCAAATTTCAAAATGCGCCAATATGTAAATTCATGTAAATCTTAGAAAATTTGAATAAAAAGCTTTAATTTTTTTGCAGGTGTGCCTAGAAATACATCTACTTTAAGATGATGTTAAATTTTTTTTCGAAAAATTTATAAAAATTTAAAAAATGAATCATAAAAAATGGGCGAATTTTATTTGGAACGAACCTAAATTTCTAAATGTGAAAGAAAGAATCAAATAAGTTTAATAAAAAAAAAGGATATTAACAAATATATACCAAATTCAATTAACATTGAGCAGCTAAAATTTTGAGAGCTCATTTTTTAAAATCACTCGCACGATTTTTACAAAACTTGGAAGTTTGGCATAATTTGAATCGTAGAATCTAAATGTGGAAAAAAATTGGCATGTAATTTCAGAAAAAGTCCGATTTTGTGTCAAAATACCTATATTAGAACAGCGCTATATATAAATCTAATACATATCCTTAATCGCGCTTTCGAGACATGAAAAATGCAAGTTGAATTTTGTCAATAGGCCTAGAAGAACAGGTGATATAGAACTGTCTTTTTCTCTTTGCGCAATGTACATCTCTTCTCTCTTATTAAATGCATTTCATTAAAATTTGTCCATTATTTTTTCAGAAATTCGACGTATTGTGTAAATTTTCTTAATTTTGCATACGAGTGTAGCACCTCTCTTATATCTAAAGCGAACTATTTACATAGGCCTAGAATATAGTGATCACAATTCTTTTTATTGAAGAGACAAATGAAATGCAGTTTCCTGAATATAAAAATAAATACTGAATAGAATAACTTCAAATAAAACTACAAATTAGGCTCCTATTGAAATGTTATTCTTTTAGTAATACACTGCCTACGAAGTAATACACGACATTTTTAGTAATACACGGCAGTAAAAATACTGACTACAGAAGGTGTTAAAAGAGCTGCAGGAATTGAAACTGACATGAAAGTGAGTACATGCCAACTTTTGGATCGAGAAAAGCGTTGTAGAACTCTTGAAGTAAAAGGCTGAAATCAGAAAAGCTGCCAACAGTTTTACGAACTTGAAAATACAATTGAAAGACTGTTGACGAACAATGCAAAACGAATACGGATACAGCAGTCTTTTTAAAAGTATAAAATTTCATCAGCTATGTAATTATAAATTTTTTTCACAACAAAATAAATAAAAAAATAAGGTTCCAAGTTTCGCTAATAGTTTAATTTACTTTCTTAACTAAGTTCAAAGCTGATACCTTAATTTGCAATACTGTAATCACCGTTTATTCAACTCAGCAGCTTAATTAATTGAACTATGTTAAAGGAAATGATTTTAACAGGCGGTGGGAAGTGCACTACAGATCATTGGTTTGAACAATTAGGGTACCTGAGGTAAGAAGTTAAAATCATTATTTAAGGAGATAGGTTGCTTTATTTTGCTTCAAAATCTCAGCAGTGAAACAAAACATTTAGTTTACATATTTACGCTTATAGTTTATTTATTTCATATACATTTGTTATCCTTATAGTATGTGGAAATATTTTGTTATATTTTTATATTTGATATGCTTTCTGTCAAACATATGTTCACATATCAAACATACGAATAAACCAAAAAATTGGGTTGAAACGTTAAGTAATGGCCGTTTATGTTGGGTTTAAAATTACGCGGTAAAAATAAAATGTATTGGCATAATGTTTTCTGTTATTCGAAAGAGAATCTTTCCTTCTACAAGATGGCGTATTTGATTTTTTTGTCTGAGCTAATTTTTATTAGTTTTCAGATCATTAAAATAGAGTGTCAAGTCGACAAAAAAAAGCATTTTTGACACCTTTTTTTGGCGTTTAACCAAGGCGTCAATGTCGCAAAAGCTGCCCAAAAGATTTATGAAGTGTATGGAGAAGGTGCAATGCCTGATCGAACTGCAAGAAATTGGTTTGCCAAATTCAAAAATGCATTTCTCGAAGACACTGCTTGTTCCGGACGACCAAATGAGTTTGATGAAGAGCGTTTGAATCAACTTCTGCACGAAGACGCGCGTCAAACCACTCGAGAATTAGCCGAACGAATGGGTTGTAGCCAAATGACTATAGTTCGACATCTTGGGTCTATGGGTAAAGTCCAAAAACTCTGATATTATTGTCTAATTTACTTTTTTTTTGGTTAAAATAAAAATTTTTAAATTAAAAAAAGGGGCCATTGCTTACGTTTCAACCCAATAACAATAGCTGAAATAATCAATGATGCTGTTCTTAAACCAATGCAGTACATAAATATGTAAAATCATTATTTCTTTTACTGCTGTAACGATGTTCATGAATATCAAGCTTATTCATAGTAATGATTGTGTTTCTCTCTACTTTATACTAGGTGGACCTCAGCATTTTCCATAAAAGCCCGAACGGTGGCCACATAATAAGTCGAAATGGTGATAATAGCAATAGTGCAGATGGTGGCATTCACATCATCAGCAACTCCTTTCCGGATGGAATCAATCCTTTATGTAAAGAGCATGGCTGCCAAAGGAGGGGTAGCTTCTCGCCACCACTCCCACCTCCTCCGCCCCCTCCTCACGTAAGGCGTACACCTCACGAACACCACCACCACGACAATCTCATGTGCCAGAAGCACAATACCACTTACCGCTCGTACCTAGTCGAAGAAGAGGAAGCGGAAGACGACGTAACCACGACGGCAACAGCAGCAACCGCCTTTGTCCTTGCCCACCAAATTTCGGGCCGAAACGGTGGTCGACGAAGGGCTGGACTCAAGCCGGCCCCCTAGTTTTGATAGTACAAGGTCAGCACCCGACGTGATAGTGCACCGCTGAGTCCATATCAAATCGAATTGAGTCTGTAGTTGAAAGCGCGGGGGGGGGAAAGATGGATTTTCTCTTGCATGTGACAACAATTATATTCTGGGATATAGAAGATGGTTGCGGTGGATTGATTAGTTTACTTAACAATATCCACACAAAGTAGCATCTTTTCTTCCAACATTCTCCTTACTCATATTATAGCACATTTGCTTTGGATGATTGGATAAGCAACAAAGCAGTTCGCTGAGGCATGGGGTGGGCACCCAACCGACCTCTGAAACCACGGCCTCTCTGATAAACAATGCCATGATTAGTTCAGCTGAATTTTATGACAAAAATAAATAAATGCCTATCTCAGATTTATGTCGTGTTCAACTTTGCCCTCACTACAATTCAATATTAAAAGAATTCTTTTATGATAATAAAGTTTTGAGAGAAAAGTAATTTCGGTTTTTAATGAAAAAAAAAAAAACTTTTTTTTCTATACAAAAAAATGAATTTTAATCATTCAAATATCTTCCATTCTGTTTGGTGACCTTTTGCCATCTTTCATGATTCCATTCTTATAGAGCTTCGGGTCTTTATCAGCAAAAAGCTTAATCAAGTTTGATTTGAGGCCATTGTTATGTTTGGACAATTTTTTTTAAATATTATTAGGGATGATCCATTCTTCATCACCAGTGATAATAAAAGGGTCGAAAAAAATCATTTAAAAAAACATGTTTGAAATGCCAATCGCAAATATTGATTCTTTGAGTTAAGTGAATTTCTTTCAAATCATGCAGAAACCACATATCGAGCTTCTTAATGAGTCCAAAACATCTTATTTGATTTTCCAATTATTATATGTGATATAGTTAACCTTTCTGCAATCTCTCGCACAGTTATATAATTAGATTCTTATGTCTTTTATTTTGTCATTATCAACTTCAGGCTGGCCAGAACGCTGGTTGTCTTCAAGTGAAAAATCTCCAGAACGAAAATTTTTTAATCGAACCGACACATGCATTCCATTTAGCAATCAACACATATCTTTTTGTGACACTCAAATGCTTACTTGCCATTATGAAAATTAAAAAGTAAAATATGTAAAAAACGTTTATTTTTGCATAAAACTGGCAATAAACTAACAGTTGTAAACAAGCTGCCAAATCTCAAAAGAAAAAAAATTGTAAGATTGACAGAAGAATAACAAACCGAACATAACGCTATCTATTTGTGCAAACCGAAATTACTTTGTTGCCAACCCAATAATACTGTTACTATGAAGCTCTTTTTCATTTACACTTAAAGTAGAGACTGCAAGTGGGGATATGTGCGCATCCTGGCAAATTCATTAAATTGATTTACGAAAGGCTACATCTAAAATGTGAAGAAAATTAAAAAGCTGTCAAATAAGAGTACCAACAGAGATTTCATCAGAATAACTGAAGATCATTTTTTCAATAATTTTTTGTTGATAAATTGAAAATTATTGAAATGATTTTGTTGATAAAAGAAATTCTGTACAACTCATAATATTACATGCTGTTGTAAATTAAAGATAATAAAATGAACTATAATTTTATTTAAATGGTCAATGATCTGAGTTATATATATATTCTGACAGTAGAAAATTTTGTTCTAAATTATGCTAAATATATTTTTATTTACTTTCCAAGCCTTTTTTTAAAATTTACATGTCCAGTTTGCTGCTATAATAGGCTGCATATATCCCTACTTATTAAAACATTTCAATTATATAATTTGAACTTTTACTCACTTTCATATCAAAAACAATCAAGCAATTAAATAGCTATGTAGATAAAGCCTATAATTATATTTAGGCCACAGAATAACCACATGCGATAGTTAAGATGCAACCTGCATTTATAGTAAACTTCTTAAAGAAAACAATTAGTTTGCAGCTTAAGATATAGTTTACATAGTGCTTTTTAAATTAGAAATGTTCAGGATTTAGTCTCAGATATTAAGGAAATAGTTAAGACGATGCAAAACAGAGATGTGCCGTGGCAGAAGAATGTTTCAAACAACGACTGACTGTACTTACGCTATCAGCAACTTGCCCACCCCAGCTGAATAGCAATAAACTGCTTTTACATTGCCAAGAATTGAAAATGGTGCTACTGTATTTAAACAACAAAACAATGGACTCCTTAGTAGACTAAGACATCATCTAGCTATCAGATGCTTTTTGAAATTCCCCCCCTTTTTTTTTAAAGCTGAGAAAATATAAGGAAGAAGTGAATATTACCTGCTCAATATAACATATAGTTAATGGTGGATACACCATCATTTCTCTGTTTTGTTTCTTTTTTTTTTTTCTCCTCCTCCAAGAACAAGCAGTCAGACAGTGTCTTCCACACACAGAACAAACAGCAAAAAGACTTCTAAGAAGCTGCATAAATTTCTCCAGAGATTTTTTTCAAGATTTTCTTTTCTTTACAAACTTTTTTCGCCTTGGACACTGTTTACAATCTTCACTCGTTGAAGAAGGTAAAAGGAATGAAGAGTAGAATTTTTAGCCTGCGATCTTTAGAAGAAAGTACATTTAAATAATGTTAAACTTGAAAATATTGAAGGTTATCACATTTATAGGACATTTTACAGGAGATGTATTCATCCTGTCAGTCAAAGTCTCATCCTTTTTGGACTGCCAGAATTCTATGTACAAAACAAGATTCATAGTGAATTAGATCATACTTTTTATATGATATCTGTTAGCTCATTTATCGATAAAATTCTTCCTTGTGTCTGTTTCATTTTTACATCTTCGTGCCAGAAAAAGAAAACAAAAATCAACAGATATGTAAATATTACAACTTACAAATCCTAAAAAATGGGTTAAATATCAAACAAATTTCAAACACTAATTTCTACTATAACATACAAAATAATCTCCTGATTAACATGATTTAAATTTATAATGGCTAAATTTATAATCATTCTTTAGAGTTAGTGAATAAAAAGTCTGTCTTGCTCTGACATGTGCCAGTTAAAAATTCATAATATTAAAAGTTCATGTACTGCTATACTTTTGGAAGTTACTAATGAAAATACATGCAATACTTGCATTACAAGTAACCTTTTTGTTTCTTTGATTTTTTAGACCTTGTCATTATGCTTCAGAGCCACTTTATCATCATTAACCTACCACCTTAGATGCAAAATGTTGTTGTATGTAGCAAAATGTTTTGATATAAGTTGTACGGCTCATTACCATTGTCGAAATTATTCACGATATCTCGCTCAAAATATCCTCACTAGATGAGATAATGAGTGCTAATACGTATATATTCCATTCTTCGAGTCAGATTCTGTATGACATTTTCTTCTAAGTATCTGTCAAGGTTGCAATCCGGATCTTCATAACCACACCATCAATGCAGTGGTCGATCGTGATATATTGGCACATGAATGGGACAAAAGAAATTATCGCACACTATTGTATTGGCGAAGATAGATACGCTGAGCATTTGTTAAATAATGTTAAAAAAAAAAAACTCGATGAATTCGGCTCTATTTTAATATAATAAAATTTGGTTAATTGGTTTATGTCTCATGAATTATGTACAACCCTATATTAATGCATCAAGATGTAGTATCAACTTGTTCTATTGAATTATAGAAAATAACGGATACTATTGTGAGAACATTGTGGAATTACCTAAATACATTAATTTAGGGTTCCCTACATATTTTTATATATGTCTTATTACCCAAGAAGATCAAATTACTTTTGGGGCACCTACTAATAATGTATAGTAATCTAAAGAAGTGTAATTCAGTATGATTAAAAATTATAAAAATTACCTACATAATATGATAATAAAATAATGTAAAAAAATACAATTAACAAGCAGTATCGAGGGGGGAAAACGAGAGAGAGAAGAAGTGGGGAAAATGGTTTGGGGAAGAAAAAGAAAATCAGTTTTTTATAATAGCTAAAAATATTTGTAATGCAGCATTTTAAAATACTTTTCATTAAAGTGTGGAAATGTCTGAGTATCATTTCGCAGCTTACAAACTGCTATGCAATTTGCATTCATTTGGTTTCAAAAAAGCATCTTTATCATCACATTTTTACCATATCTGTCATTATCAATAGCATTTCATCCTTAGCACAGTTACTATATTAAGCTTTTATTGCAATCTGACATTTTCATTTTACAAGTTTTTACACTAGCAAGATTTTGTTGCATTGCATTAAAAAATATATAATTTAGTATTGGTATTTCCTATAATAAATATTTTTAAATGTTGATGCAAAGATGAAAAAATTGTATTAATGCAGTTTTTACATTTCTTTACGAAACAAATTTTCATTGACAGTTGAAAAAAATAGTTGCCAGTCCATTACCTGGAGATTATTTTTACCCACAATTAGTTTGTAAATCTGCCTAAAAGGGGCAGTACCTATTCAGTGACACAGATAAACTAGTCGAGCTAGGCTTGACTACTTTGAATATGTACTGCCCTCTTTAGGCAGATTTAAAAACTAATTATGGGTAGAATAATCTCAAGGTAACAGACTTGACATGAAGTGGAAGATAAATTACTCTTATTGATTTGCTAAATTTATATCTAAAAAATGTCAATAGATTTTTTTATATTTTAATTTTTAGAAATATCTTTTAAAAAATCAAATATTCATTTATCTTGAGTTTCCTTTCTTTTCTTCTGGGACAGCATATGTAAGCAAAATTTGAAAACGGGACAAATAATTTATCATGCATATTCGATATAGCATCATAATTTATTTTTATATATAATGATTTATTTCTTTCATGGTATTCATTTCCATATTCTTTATCATGCATGATAAAGAATCATTGAATCACAGTCTTAACCGCTTCCCTTACAAATTTTTTTGAAAAAAATTGCAAAAAATCATCACATTTTTTTATTTTATTATTAAATACAACAAAACGAAACAAATCAAAATATGTAGGTTTTAAGTTGAATTTTTAATTTTTTGAAGGTGTAAAAGCATTTATTTTTAATATTAGTTTACTATTCCGAGTTATCTCGAGCAAATGAAAAAAGTTAAATATTAATCTTTGTATGATAGTTTTTGAAACAAGGGACAACATAGAGTGATACCTGACATTCTACACTGGTATCTGGTCTCTTTTCTTACTTGCTTACCGTTGGAATCACTTTCACGGAAGCACAGAGTACACTGTCTTGTTGGATTTTATTTATTTATTTATTTTTTGATTTTTTTCCCCACCTCTTCATAATCACTATCTGAAAAATCATCGCTTTAGCTATCTTCCATCATCGCCATTATTTTATTTTTTTCCAACGCATGCATCCTTCTTTATACATTATTAATCCACAAGCCAACGTATACTATACAATAGGGAAACACGAAAATTTGGCAAACTGCCAATCAAAGCTGAATATTTCCTTTCATTTCCTCCAGACTGAGTAAAACTGTGATAAAAGAAATCATACTAACAAATTCTGCTTCGCCCGAGTTTTCTCGGGATAATAATTAACTGCAATATATATGAACCTGAGATAACTCGGGATAATCAGGCAAGCGGTTAAAAATGAACATAATTAACATAATCACATAACATAATATAACATAATCCTCTGCTAATACTCTTAAGCGATACTAATAGCGAAAATTTACTGTAGTTCCATACATCACCACATTAAGATGACAAATACACAGTTTTATTTGCTGATCCATTAGCAAGTTCCTCATTAACTGAATTAAGAACTCACATAAAAATTTTAAAAGTTTTTATACTAAAAAAAAAAAAAAAAACTACTTCTTGAATTTTAAGAGCAATAACTAATCAACCGAAACTTCACACAGATCTAGTACAAAATATATTTTAACACTGCTAATAACAATAACCAAACTGCCCCCACTAAATCTGGAATTAGTTTCTACCATCACAGACTTCAAAAATCTTATCACAAGTGTTGCTAAAATCAATGAAATTTCTTTCTTCTCAATAATTTTCAAACATGTCTTGTGTTGAAATTCATTTTTCACTTTATTAAAAGCACTGCTCTAGTATACACAATTTTTTAACCACCTTATATCATATTTCACTTTATCGCATAATTTTCATTTCAGTTCTTTCAGCATACAATTTAGTAAAAATTAAAATTTATAGTAACAATATACAAAATATGGGTCTATAGAAAAGTATATTGTTAATATATAATACAAGAATATTCATTCTATTATTTATATTTTCTAATATAAAAGAGTAAAGTACTGAAAATTAATAATTAGAATTAGCTTCTTTGAACTAGAGTAATAATCATAAATCTATGTGTATTTTATTAAGTTTCAATATTAACTCTTTTGCATTGGTACAGGCCAAATCTGTTTCACTCAAACATCTACATAAAATGCTCTTGGGATCTTCATGCACGTTCACCACTGTGTGCCGTTTTCCCTTAGGACAGGATTGCAACTTTGTGCATCAATAGCTAAACATTGATGCTAAACAAAGAAGAAGAAAGGCACATTTAAATAACAGAATTACTTTTAGTTACTTCAAAAGGATGACTGACATGTCATTTAATAACAACTAAAAACAATGAGTCATGTTCTAACATGATGGGAAAAGCAGCAGGCAGAAAATAACTGAAGCATTCAGGCGACCTGCCGATATCTGAATGGTCAGGCGTTTTTGGGCAACTTCGATGTGAAAGAGTTAAGTTCCTCCTTTAACCTGCAAATATTTTCTTTCTTCATATTGCATGGGATCTGTTCAGTCAGAATTTAATATAGTGTAATTTTAATAGTTACTTTATTACAGGTTCATCATCTAAATTTTACTATGCACACAATCGACACATCATTCAGTACAAAATTCATGAGAAAAAACAGAAGACATATCTAGCCATACAGTTAAACTCACAGTTAGATATTAGGTAAGTTTAGACACTGAATGAGTTATATTTATTTTAAATATAAAATGAATTTAATTTTTTTAATATTAATTAAATCTTATTTATCAGCATGCCTCATTTTCAAACCTGATTTTAGGATTCAAAAATTGTTGTTGCACCCATTCAGTGAGGGATTTCTTAAATATTTGTTGTTACAAACTCATACCTTTGGAAATTGTGCACATCAAGTCATTTTATAGTCTTAAGTTTTAGGAGATAAAATTAGCAAAAAATGGGAAAGGGCAATAATATGCAAATAAATACTATGCATATGGAATCCCCTTACCTTACCACTACTTTTATGTTTACAAAATAAACACTAGTTACATACCAAAATTTTGATCTAATGTCACCAATTCAAATGGAATGCGAGTCCAGAAGGACAGTGTCTTTCTGGACCCACATTTGATTTGAAGTGCCCGTAGAGGCAATTAAATCAAGACAGCCAAATCACGTCATGCGAAAATGCATGATAGTCATGGCGATCAGAGACAATTGCAGTTGAATCATCTAATCGAGTTGGAACCTTGCTTCAGGGTTATTTTATTCTGTTAGTCAAGTCTTGTTCCAAGGTTTATTTTACAAATGTGAAATTTTAAGTTCGTGATGCCCTGTGTCACCATCTGTAACCCATAATATCAATCAAATTTAAATCATAAAATGAGTGAAATTCTGCTGTCTTCATTTTCGAAAAGCCAAATTTAAATTAACCACTTATACCAAACCAAAATTACAAATTTATTCCAAAACTAAAACAAGCTAAACTTATAAATCACTAAGGGGACACATGACATAAAAGTTTTTAATTTTGGGGTAAAAAAATAAAGTAGATTGAGATGATTCTAAAAATATATAATTTATACAGATTTCAAAATTTTAAAAGTCCGAAATCTTTCATTACAAAATCCATATCAGCTGTTAAAACATATGTTCATAAACATTATTTGCCAGATCTTGTTTTATTAGCTGTTAAAAGTGTGTTTATAAGTCTATCTGGCAAACACCTACTGTCAAACTGCATTCATGAAGAACTCAAAACCCAAATGAAAGTTTTAATAATTGCATCTGAACACACATATCAAAAGTGATATGTTTAAATACGACAATATGTTTTAATGATGATGTACAAAGCGACAATAAAGTAATGAAATTATCAGGAATACAACTAGGACTTGGTAGAGTCTTTGTGGAAAATAGATTGTGATAGAATTAGTGAGGCCCATTACCAAAAGCTTTCTAAAATGGCCAGAAAGAAATATAAATTAATAAAGAAGAACAAATTGATGTAGAAATGTCAGTTCAAGATTATTATTATGCAGGAAAATATTAAAATGATTTTTCTTTATAAATTATTAGTGTTCATTTATTTATTTTTTATTTTCAGCACACTTTTCTTGAAACCTCTTCAGCCTGGAAGGTTTAAATTTCCCTCAATTGTTTATCTTAACTATTTCAAAGAAATAGTTAAGAGGATGCAGGATATAAAATTTACGATCATTAGTTTTGGACATAAAAATACTATTTTTATACGATTTTCAAAACATTTTACTAATTTATTTTTAACATTTTTTCTTTTTAAGTAAAATGTAAAATACTGCTTATTATTCTTAAATGAAATGTTTTTAACTGTCATCCAACATTTGAAGGATTTTGGTGCAGTATTCTTTAAAAAAAGTGTACCAAACTAGCACACTGTCACAAAAGATTCGTCAATAAGAGAAATTAAACAACTAGTTTTTAAAAACATTAGGCTTTTAATTTTTATTTTATGTGTTTTATATAATCTACAATTTATCTATTTTAAGTGAAAAAAAGAATCTAGATTATAAGTTTATTTTGAGAAAAGTTATACCCTAATAACTTTTGTCTCAAAATAGTTGCATTTTGCCTGTTGAGATTTAAGTAACCAACAATAAGTAAACCAATATAAGTAACCAATAATAAGTACAGAAGAGACAAGTTCTGGAAATTAGTAATATCATTTGAGCATGAAATGCAAAATAAAATGCAGAAAATATTTTTGCTCCTGTTTTTAGTTGTTCTTAAAGTAAAAAAGAAGAATCTTCATTTCTTCATTTCAATAACCTTTTCTGAGTAGAGAAGACTGTTTTATAAAAGCAATCCTTTCATAGTAAAGTTTTCATAACTTCTTAATCAGGAAATTCAAACATAATTCAGCAAGCATTAGTCGTTGAGGTGAGATAGTGTTCTACAAAGCGGACTGTCATGCCGCAGGTAGTGAACTCAAGTTATAGACGAGAATGGATGTCTTTTCCCTTTTCATTTATTATCCAAATGTCTAATCAGGTCAAATTACAATTCTTGGAACACTTTTTTTTAAACTCGTACATCAAAATGGTTGATTAACTGATTCAATGGAAACAGCTTACCAAATGAGTGTCCGTCTTTAGGACAAGATGCTTTCTTGGAGGACTTTTAAGGTGAATTTGCAAAAAATTCATGCTACACATGGGAAGAACCTTGAAAACCCCCATGCTGCCAGGACTTATGTCAAACTACCATAGTATAGCAATCTTATCAGTTAGTTGCAGGTGGATATTTTTTACATCAGTTCTTTTCAGGAATATTTGAATCAAATAAAATCCTGAAAATTTCATAAAAGTGAATATTAAATTCTCCATGATCAAATTAAGTCAATGAAAAAAAAATATTCAAAATAAACCAAAAACCAGAAGCACAGTGGTAAACTGAAAAAAGGGGGGCAAAAATGCCAAAACTAGAAATGAATTAAGAACTTTATATCTTTCACTGAATTATCATTAGTGGGTTGGTGCAATGAAAGAATTAAATAAATCAGAATGGTTTTGAACGAATTAAGATAAAAACTACTTAAAAATGATCTCAGAAAAACAAAGTAATCTGTATCTTTATCAGTCTCAGTCTGCTCAAATTAAAAAAAAAAAAAAAAAATTAAGTTTGATACTATTGATTTTGATGCTATACTTTTGCAATTTTTTGCACTACTCACAATGGCCTGCAGGGTTTAAACTAATAAAGACACATATTACTTTGATTAATTTTTTGCGATTATTAAAGTATTAAACTTAATTTGTATCACTGTTGGTTCAGAAGCCGACTGCCATAAAAACTTTAATTTGTATCGCTGTTAGTTCAGAAGCAGACTGACGAATAAACTTTAATTTGTGTCGCTGTTGGTTCAGAAGCAGCCCAGCTTATAAACTTTAATTTATGTTGCTGTTGTTCATAACCAGACTTCTTTCATTCCACCAACCCCCTCGATGACAATAGTTTGAATTGGCAACTTTCTTTCTTTTGGCATTTTTTGTGCCTATTGTGCAGTTTGCCGATGTGCATCTGGTTTTCTTGTTTTGCATATGGTTTCTTACCTATATAATGAAAATATTTAAAATATTCAATTGTTTAATAAAATTAATGTGTATAATTTCTTACAAAATTTTATTCACATATTTAACAATTCTTTGATAAAATTTAAAGTAGAATAGTACAAAAACTTAGGATTGCATTTTAAGCTTCATCTTCAGCATAACCATAACCACCACCTCCAGGGGTTTGAAGCAACAAGGCATCCTGAGAAAACAAAAATCAGTTACATCAACGAAATACCAAAAGTTAAAATTTTGTTATTAATTATTAAGGTACATAAAATATAAATTCTGCTTTATGTTCCAAACTTATACCATTTATATACTTTTCAAGAAATTCTGGTACTTTCTAGTTAAAGCAGTCAACATGTCTGGTTCCCAAAGCTTGCAAACTTAATTGTTCAATCTATAAACATGCAAATTCAAAAAGTTGCAAAAAGCTTATTTCTTGGTCGCTTTATCAGAAAAGTACCAAAATTATTTAATTCATTATATCACACATTGCATGCATATATCTTAACTATTCATATATGGCCCATTTTCAAATTTTGCTTACATATGCTGTTCCAGAAGAAACAAAAATAAATTCAAGATAAATTAATATTTAATTTGAACAATGTGTTACATAATGATGACTATAACTATATTTCTGCATTTTAAAATATAAAAAAAAATTAATTGAAATTTATTTAGATATAAATTTAGTTAATCAATAAAAATAATTTGTCCTCCACTTCATATCAATAACTTGAGATTATTCTGCCTAAAGGGTACATTCTCAAAGCAGTCAAGCTTACCTTAACTAGTTTATCTATATCACTGAATATATACTGCCTCTTTTAGGCAGATTTACAAACAAATTGTGGGTAAAATAATCTCAAGGTAACGGACTTGGCATGAAGTGGAAGACAAATTATTCTTCTTGATTTGCTAAAGATAAAAAAAACTTCTGTAATTAATTTTTATAAAGAATATAACACACTAATAGTTCATATTCAAAGCGATTAAAATTCCTTATTTAAAGCAATCAATTAGGTTACCTTATTTTAAGCAATAAAGAGGTTGAATAACATAAAACTTGAAAGGGACAGGCATTTTTGCCTAAGATCACTTTTAAGATTTATATCTAAAAAATTTCAATATTTTTTTTTATATTTTAAATTCTAGAAATATATTTATAGTCGTCTTTATGCAAAGCATTGTTCAAATTAAACTTTAAATATTAATTTATCTTGAATGTTCTTTCTCTTCTTCTGAGACAGCATATGTAAGCAAAATTTTAAAAAAATGACCCATATCTTAATACATTATAACATTAATTTAAATCACACATTTTATACATGAAAGGGACAGAAAAAATATATATATATCAGAATATATAGCTCATGGGTATAACCTTCATTAATTTCATATTAAAAAAAGATATAACCTGGGTTAATCTTATACTGAAAAGAAAACATCCTAGTCTTTAGAATTTCAGTGGACATTTACGTCAAGATAAAGAATGAGAGATTCTTAACATAACCCACGAAATAGAAATATAAGAATAAAATTTAGTGATTGAAATAGAAAGCAGAGGTGGTTTATTGGCCACTGTACAGCCTGGATAATTTTTCATAGAAATGAGTATGAAAGAATGGATGAGTCCTAACTTATTGCCTGAGATATATATATAATGGCCTTAAAAATGTCATTATTATTACTCATATTTATGAGCCATAATATACATGAATAAACATTTATTTTTTTCATGGCAACAAAAATTTGTAAAATTTATATACATTTGAGGATGTTTTTATTCCATACTCAATAATTAAGTTAGCTTAACAGTCCTATCCATTATGATATAGTGGATACTAAAATCCCAGACATCATCATAACTCACCCTAAAGTATACAGAATGACAATTACTGAACTATATGAAATAAAATGTAAATTATTTAAAAACTACTGAATGCACAAACTTTAATCAACATGTAAATGTCACTAACAATATTCGGATTTAGGTTATGACATGTTCGATATGCCTGCCATCTTTGGTTATGATGTGGTGCAGATGGATAGCAAAGTTCTGCATGATCCACTGAAGCGTCGAAACATTAATGCTGTTGATGACCTCCTGAATGGCAGTTTTCAGCTCAACGATGGATTTGGGGTTATTTCTGTACACATTGTCTTTAATACCTGTTGAGGGTGGAGAGACTTCTTGACTGTGAAATGCAGATTCTCAGTCCCCAAAATGCACCAATTTTGCTTACTGATGAGCCCAACCAAATGAAAGTGGGCTTCATCGCTAAACCAAACCATATTCACATCAAATTCATGTTTGTCAATTATCTCAACAATAGTGTTGGCGAAACACAACCATTGTTCCATGGCCATGGACCTTAATGGCTGATGGGTTTGAATTTTGGATGGGAAGAGATGCATGTCTTCAACAACAATTTGTCATGGGGTCTCCCGGTTGATTCCCATCTGTTGTGCACCTCATCTGATCGATTTCCTTAGGCTGGTTTGAAAAACAGCACATGTCTGCATTTCCACACTTGTTTGTCGACAGACATTGCCAGCACTGCCATCACAAACACTACCAGTTCTCTCAAACTTGTGAATCAAATTCTTGATTGTTAGTACACTTGAACCTGTTGCCTTCAGCTTGTACTCAGTCGCAAACTTCCTTTGAACCGAAGTCGGGCTGTTATTGCTTGCACAATAGGCCTTCACAAGCACTATATGTTCAGGCATGCAGTACCATGACATTTTCACTTGAAAATGGGCCAACAATAATAAGTTGTGTGTGCATGCGCATACTAATTCCCATCGTGCCCTATGGCCAAACACGAAGTTTGAACTTCATCAGTCAAACTATTCAGAAAGTTATGATGGTTTTATTTCATATAGTTCAATAACTGTCACTCTGTATATGTGTATGAGCTTACATGTACACGAAATGCCATTTGCTTATCAAACTGATGTTATTTTTCACATCACTTACCAAGTTTACAATAAACCCTACTAAAGACTTCTAAACCTATATAAACATATTCTCAGCTTTAACTTAAAATAAATTAAACGTATAATAAAAAAAAATAATAATGACTGAAGTTCAAACAATGACAAAAAAACTACCCATCATTTCTATCAATAATTGTAATAAAGACTTCTCTTTCCTGAAGTTACATTAACCCTCTGGCTGCTCATCCCGCGATTTCCATGGGCAACTCAAATGTAGAAATCTGCTCATCCTGCGGGCATGTTTTTTCTTGTAGAAATGGCTGCTAGAAAACATTCAGTGGTTATCTTTATTATTTAATTAAATTAATAATTATATTGATTATTAATTAGATTTATTGAATCTGGTGCAAAAAGACTGTGAAATTGGACTTTGCCTTGAACCCTGTTTTGAACTCTATCATACTAAACTACATTTCTAAGGTATTTTTCCTCTGTGGTTTTATTTTTTAAATTTTATACATTTTACTTTTTTATATTATGCAATAAATAGAAATTAACTGTAATTCGACTGAAATTTATTTTTAAAAAATTTTTTGGGGTGATAACATCTGAAATTGGTTTTTCTGGCAAAAGTTTCTCATGATACATGAGAAATGAGAATAACATTTTATGTTATAGAAAAAAATATTTTCTAGAAAGGAAAAATGCATTTTTCAATTCTCCAATATTTATAGATTTAACCATTTGACTGCTAAGCAATTCTTGCAAAAATGCACGAAAACTGCGGGACATATTTTGACTTGATGTTGTCTATTGACTTACATTTTATTATAATTACATTTTGGCTTGATAACGGAACAACAGAGACACAACACTGAAACTCGCAGATTTTTTCGAGTAAATGAACGCAGTGCTTTTGTGCCACATAGCAGTCAAACGGTTAAAATATGCAAAAAGAAAATTACACAATTTTTGAAGCGATTTTGGTTCACAAATTGAGCAATCAGAGGGTTAAATATTTACCATTTTTTCCACAAAGAAATATACAGTGAAATAGTTTAACTATATTACTAAATTTTTATTTTACTGAAATATTATCAAGAATTTGCATAATTTAACCCTTAAATGCATGTAGTTGCCATATGGCAGCATACTCATATTTAGTCATGTACATCAAATCAAAACACAAATTTTAGCTTACTGCATAGGTTTGCAGTTGGATACAGACTGTTTACATATATAATTTTGAGAGTTTCAGTATGGTAGCACCACTAACGGTATAACAGTCATCATTGCGAGTTATGTGCAGAGCGTGGACATATTTGTGTTTACGAATTTTTGATTCCGTATTTGTCGTTATTTTGATGTATTCAAAGTTTTAAAATATTTTGAACAAGTTTATAAGGTATGTGTTATTACATAAAATTGTTATTACACATTTGCCTATAAATTTTTTTTGTAAAAGTTAATAATATTTTTCAAAAATTTTAATAAAAACTTACTTTAGATTTTTTTTAAAGTATTTTAATTGATATCAATTCTAATGTATTTTTGACTTTAAAAATAAAAAAAAATAAAAATAATAATAATAATAATAATAAAAATTAAAAAAATTCATGCATTTAAGGGTTAAAGTTCATTAAACTGAGCATATACTTGATAATATTTCACTGAATCATGTGCTTGTATAATTGTGTATAAAACACTTTTTCAAAACTGTTTTCAAAATAATGTTCTAAATAGCATCAAAATGTGTGCATAATTTGAGAAAATTAAAATTCATATTAATTTTCAATCTATAAAATCAAATTTAAAAAATACTTATTAATGGAACTATCTTACTCCTGCATAAACATCCACTGAATTTTTTGCTCCTAAATTAATAATACAGCCATCATGCCTTATAACAAGATTTAATCCTTTTTTTCCATCTTCCCCGCCTGAAGAGAAACAAATACATCTGTTTTATTTTACATTTTCACTCATTTTTACAATTTAAATAGAGGATTTATTATGTGTACGAACAAATCTGTCAAAGCATATTCTTACAATAATATTTTACGCTATACCTTTGAACAAACATCACTATAAATATTTAAGATAGAGGAATATGTTACAATTTTTTTAATTATTTAATGATCTGAAAGAGGACAGTAATGACCAAGACTTGCATGACCCTTTTGATCTATCTCTGATTACACCACAGTTCTGATAATGAAATAAAATACTTGCAATGCACAGCATGGGTCATAATTACTAAACTTTCAATGTTGTTATAAAGTTTATAATAACAGTAGTTATAAAGTTTTAGTTATAAATTTTAGTAGTTATAAAGTTTTAGTTAAAGATTTTCCTAATGCAGATCTATAGGAATTAAATTAAACTAGATAATTACTGCAAAGATCATAAATTATAAATAAAGGAAACAGAGTTATACTTTGCCAGAATGGCAACATCAGAATAAATAGATGTTCTAATATCTGACTAAAGTAATGTAAAGATCATGAATTATAAATAAAGGAAACAGAGTCATGTTTTGCCAGAATGGCAACATCAGAAGATGTTCTAAAGATCTGATATAAAAATTTTACTTGGAGTTTTTATTAAGCAGGAGGAGTTATATGTCTAAATAAAATTTATTATTGTTATCACAGATGGCTTTTTATTGCCAAGAGCCGAATTTTCACTTCATTGAAATAAAGTGCAGGAAGACAAAATTCCATCTCAACATGGAATGATGAGGAATAAGAAAGTTATACCTTTCTAAAAATTAGAATGCTGCATAACAAATGCAACAGGAGGTTATTAAGATTCCTTGTTTTAAATTATTCTTAGTTCATATTAAGTTTCTTCTCTTTATAAATACATGTCAGTATAAAATAAGACTACATGTTAAAAGATATATAGTAAAAAAAATTATAAATCTTTTAATTCATTAAAAAAATTAACACCTTTTAATCCATATGGAGCAAAGACCCTTCTTTCTGTAAGAACCGATAAAGTGAAAGCTTTACGAAACATAATTTTTCTCAGAACACCATCACCACCTTTGTACTTCCCACATCCTCCAGTTCCAGGATTTAAATGAAAACTCTCCAGTATCACAGGATATCTACGAAACAATAGAAATGTTGCTTTATTTAATTGTTTCTATGCATTTGAGTATCAAATTGCTTTTAAATGATAATTCTGAAATATGATGCTTTTTTCCATCGATGTTCTAATTTCATTTTTATAGCTAAACTGCATTAAAAGTTCTAGAAAATTTGTAGGTACAATTCGGTTTTGGGGACCGTAAAAAACTGCAGTGAAAATGCATGCGCAAAAGCACCAAATCTAGCAAACTTGCCCATTAAACAGCACGCCAAATCTCGCGAACGCGTTGATTTCAAATTGCGTAAGTTTTAGATAGTTCTATATTTGTAAGTTGCCATTGAAATACTAGTTTAATCTTTTAATTCTCTTTTTGATAAAGCTATGTATTTTACAATTTGGGAATTGCCAAGTGAAGAAAAGTCTGCAATAGAATTTTTTCAAAAAAAAAAAGGCATCATTCATGATAGAAAATTATGTTTGAACAATCATGAGATGAAATTATGCTTTATCGATAACTCAGTAGCAAAATGGTGGTGCAGGAAAGAAACCTGTAATGAGAAGAAGGGATTAAGAAGTCAAAATTGGTTTGAAGGATTGAAAATCCCCTTCCTTACAGCCATTAGGTTCATCTATTTTGGGTGTCAGGAAATTACATCTGTTGAATTTTGTGAATTCCAGCTCAAGATGAACCACTGTACAGTTGTAGACTGGAACAGTTACATGCGTGAGGTGTGTGCCTCAGCTTTAATTGCTCAGCTCAAGTCTAAAATTGGTGGATGTGGCAAAATTATTGAAGTAGACGAAAGCCTTTTCAGTAAAAGAAAGAACAATGTTGGACGTGTTCTTCTGCCACAATGGGTTTTCGGCGGATTATGCAGAGAATCAAATGAATGTTTCTTAGTCGCTGTTCCAGATCGATCAGCGAAAACCTTATTGAACATCATAAAGGATAATATCGCAGAAGGAAGCGTTATTTATACTGACTGCTAGAAATCATACAAATCAGATGAACAGCAAGATGCCGGTTTTGAACACTTTACTGCCAACCACAACTACAATTTTTTGGACCCGGAAAGTGGGTGTCATACACAAACAGTAGAATGGCTGTGGGACAGTGCTAAACGGCGTAATAAACGCCATCGGGGCACTGCTCCTTACTTGTCTGAGTTTATGTACAGACGTTTGCACAAAAAAAAACTGAAATTTTTTCTGCTATGTTGGAAGACACAAAAAATTTTATGCCACCCATTTAATTGCAAGTATATTTAGCCTTTTTTTCATAAAGTAATACAAAATTGTATTATATGAAATTAACGTCTCATCTAAATTAAAATAAAAATCTGAAATAGGTACTTACTATTATGTTTGCATTCAGTTATTTTAGCCTTTTTTATATAAATAATAATAATAAAAAATTGTATGATGTGAAATTAACCTTTTATCTAAATTAAAATAATAATCTGAAACAGTTATTTACCCTTATGCTTCCATTCAGTCATACTTAGCCTTTTTTATATAAATTATAATAATAAAAAAGTACTATATGAAAGTAACTTTTCATCTAAATTAAAACATCAATCTTAAATAGTTAATACCGCAATTATTTTTGGCAGCATTGGCATCAGCAATAATTTGGCAATTTTTTACGGCCCTCAAAACCGAATAGTACCAATTTGTAGTAGTATACATGCAGAATTTTCCAATTAAAAAAAAAAAAATTAGATACATACTTTATATCCTTACACATTAACCTGAGAACAGCAAATTTTCCTTACAATAAGGCACAGAATTTCAGAAAAACATCTCAACATTACAAATAAGGAGAATTCTGTAGCGACAATTAAGCTTAGACAACACCCATACAGAAAAATTCCATCTAACAATATATTCATAATACTTCAATTAGTTCAAACCAAGAAGTTTATGTATTAATGAGCAACATTTTCAGATATTCAAGGATAAAAGTTTCTACTGATTTCAGTCATTTCCAAATGTCTTTTATCAGGCTGAATTTATCAATTTTAAAATTAATTTAAAGGAAGCACATGAAAAGAAAATGATTTGACAGTCAGTGACTCTAGCATAGATAAAATTATATTGATATTCAAATCTGTGGCTGCCCCACTTTTCCCCCTTCAAAACTTATACTCACCTATCCAGAAATTTTACATTTCAAGACAGAGCTTGGATAACAGCAAGTTAGTTATTCACCTGAAGCAAGAGAGATACTTGCCTCAGGTGAATAACTATGAGAGATGCCAAATTAGCTACATAATGTCAGAAATTTCTATTTTGGAAAACTATGATGTTTAACTTACTTTTAACTTTGGAACACATCAATATATAAAATAAGCATATATTTAAAATGACATACAGTTCTCGCTGTAATGCAGCTCTGAATAAAAATTAGAAATCAAAGGAATAAAAAATTTAATTAAATGGCTAAATATAATTTTAACTATTATTTAATAATTTGTTCCTTTTATTGATATTTATATTGAAAAATATATTTAATAAAAATACTGATTGCAAAAGGAGTATATATAAATGAATGCAATAAAAATTACCTTCTCTCCAGTATCTCAGGATCAGTTATTCTAGTGTTAGTCATATGAGTATGAACCCCACTTCTTCCATGCCAGTGAGGACCCTGGAAATAAATAATATGAACACATGCATAAATAATTAGAAAAGTCATTTTTCTTCAGAAATTATTCTTTTGAACAAAAGATGAATTTCTTGACATTTCATAAATGTAAAGGAATATGCAATGCTGGAGCAGGTATCCATAGCGAACTTTTTAGTTTCTACTTACAAATGGGCTCTCTTACTACAGCCTTTGATGGAAAAATTGAAGCTATTGCCGAGGTTGTTGAACAACCCTCGATTCGTAGCCATGCTTTTGTAAAGGCAGTCAAATTGTCAGATTCCAAAAGTGTGCTTCAAGCCCTTCTGAATAATCAAAATTGTTCCCAAAGAATCTTAGACTGTAGGCCTTTGCATAAGGCAATGGCACAATTCCAATGGATTCCAGCCTACTGTGAAATTATGGGAAACAAAAAAGCTGATATATTGTCTAAGAAAGGTGATAATGCAACACATTAAACCAACACTTTTTTCATACAACTAAATTGTCTGTTAACCTGACTTTTAAGAAAATTTTTATTCTCCAAACTGTATTTTGTGTGACTCCAATCAGCCTATGATTTTTGAACATTTAAATAATTGTATTGCACTTTCTCGGTATGAGGACATTATTAAAAAGTACTGGAGAGTCTGTGATCTAATGGCTTAAGTGCTAATGTTTGGCATTTTAAAAATAAATCATAAATGTCAAGAATATATTCATGTAAATAATAAATTTAAGAAAGAATATATTCATTCAAATAATGTATTTTAAAATATATTCATGTAATCAATATATTTAAGAAATATTACCACATAAATAAATTTTTAAAAAATCTAAAGAGAAATGTTATGCACCAGGTGCTTAGATTAGCAGGTACACGATTTGTCACTAATGGAATGAATTTAACCAATTAAATATCAAGTTAGTCTCCTAGCATTTTAGAAAACACCAATTCCAAGTAAATTTTTACATAACATTTAGAAACACTGAAAGAAAATTCACTTATACTTCTCTAAAACATCAAGTGCAGATAGATATTCATCAGAATCTGATACTTTCCAGATATGCTACTGTTTGTCAGCAGCAGGTCATAAGAAATTAAAATTTTCTCATTATTTATTTATTTTACTAATGCCAAACATTAGCACCTAAGCCATTAATTCATAGGCTCTCCAGTATTTTTTAACAATGTCCTCAAACCAAGAAAGTGCAATACATTATTTAAATGTTCAAAAATCATAGGCTGATTGATCACACAAACAGTCATGTCTGGTCAGCCGTCTAAACAGAGCTACTGCCGTCTCTCTCTTAAAAATGTTTCTTCCCCAAGAATCCTCCAACTGTTATCCATAACACGTTGAATCATATCCATAATCACGTTGAATAGAGAATTTTCTTAAGAGTCAGGTTAACAAACAATTTAGTCGTATGAAATGAAGGTGGTCGATTAATGCATTGCATTCTGAAAGTTCCTTTTTTTAGCCAATGTATCAGTTTTTTTATTTCCCATAATTCCTCAGTGGGCTGGAATCCATTGGAACAAAATTCTGTCTGTCATTGCCTTTAGCAAAGGTTTACAGTCTAAGATTTCATTTCTCATAATGAAAATAACTTAATTTTCAGTGTTTTATTTCAATTCATGTCCATGAAAGTATTCTTATAATGAATGAAAGAATTTGAACTAAAATACGATGGCTCACATTTATTTTTTGACACTTGTGTTTTCCAGTTTTTTTTTTTTTTTTTTCCCTAAATATCAATTGTAGGTAAACCCCAAAGAACATGAGTTTCGAAGAGCACGGATACCTTCCACTGAATTACACGGTTTCCAACTACACAATTTTTGAGTAATTCTAGCTGTCCAAAGAATGACTCCTTTTCCATAAGGTCGCTTCTTCCACTGAACAGGGAAGAAGGATTTCCCCTCTGCTTCCAATTACATTCCAAGTCCATTGTAAGCGTTTCCTTTTCACACATAAATTTAAATTCAACACTTACCCAAGTTTGGAAAGAATTTCAATCTTGGATTGCATTAATATTGTATCTTCATCTATAAGTGATCTTAACCCTTTCAGGACGGGCGTCCTATATACGCATTCCCTAAGAACGTCTCTTATGGTCGGGCGTCCCATCCGCGCATCACTAAAGATTGCATTCAGAGGACGGGTGATGCGTATATGCATTTTAAGCGGGAACATTTTTCTGAAGGCCACTAGATAGCATTGTATATCCATTAATTTTGAAATGAACACAGTTTTAGGTTCCTGACCTTGAGTTTGATATATTCTGTCTGGTATTTTACTCATCAACTGTTGGGAGGGGGCGGGAAAGCGTAAACAGAGGTGGGCTCTTTAAATAGCCACGTGCTAATATAAATATTCGTGTGTCTGATTTATATCCAATTCCTTTTTTTATTTCCCCTCTATTATATATGGTCTTTTAGGGTTATTATGTGGAATTCTGTTATGTTTTGCAATGCCTTCAGATATATTTCCGTTTCTTCTCTTTTTATTTTGGAAAGCTTCACCTCCAGTCTATTATGGTGGGAAGGTGCTATTTATCAGAGGAAGAATATCCTCGTATGGTTAATGAACCATTTCCTAACGCAAATGAGAGTGATGATTCTTTTTCTAAAGCGTTAGAAAGTGATACTTTTTATAAGAGTTAGAAAGTGATACTTCTCCGTGCTTCGAGATTTACCACACTCAGTCTTCATTTTAAAATTTGTTACTTCTTACTGTAAATAGTCTTAATTGTGTTGTTTTATTAATTTCAAACTTTACTGATGGATTTTATCAATTAAAACTTTGGAATAATTTGAATAGCACTTCTGAAAATTATTTTACAAGATAAGGAAATTTTTTTTAAGTATATTTTTATGTAAAATAAAGAAAAAAACATTATTAAGTGCTAATTTTAACATATATAAGAGCTCATGTAATAATCTAAAATGATACCAAAAATTATGATGCTAGAAGTGAAACTTTTTTTTTTCCTAATTTCCCCCCTCCCACCCACCCATCGATGCAAAACCTCCATCCTGGATGGTGACTGCCTTCCGTCCCGCACAAGCGTCTTAAACAAAGGTGTGCCGTTGTGAAAAGGTTAAAGCTTCGACACTGAATGCAAGTTGGAAATCTCTTTTACCAGATATGGTTTATGAAGACCCCAATATTTCATACAAACACACCAAATACAATCAGATAATTAATGTTGCATGTTTGCTATGTGGTACAGAGTTTGATGAGATGTCTGTTGAAGATGTTGATAAACTACATATAGAGAAAACACCAGATAAAGAAGATTTTGTAAGGCTTCTAGAGGAATCCATTTCAAATTCAGTGACTAAAGAAGCTAAAGAAAATTATGAAAATGTATAACCAACATTTTTCTGTTGATGATGTACAATATGCACTACACTTGGCAAGCAAAGATGGAGATGTTCTTAACAAAAAGGGATCCTTGCAAAGTATCGAAAACAACATTTGCAGCACAAATCCATAATTGTGTGAAACCGTATGAAAATTATTTAGAGAAACAGCAACACAGGAATGAACCATCATGTAAGTACTGCTATATTCGGATGAAGATGAACCAAGTGACATGGATATTCAGCCCCCTACAAGAAAATATAATAAAATCACAACATTCCTAGATAACTCCAATGATGAAGACTAGATGGCCTGGTAATATAATTTTAATTAAAAAAATCTGATGTGTACATCACAACTTCCTTGTACAAAATATTAAATTATACACACTTTTCCCTGCATTTCATTTAAACTTATTTGTTTAAATTTCATTAGAGATAGATTTCTCATTCAATTAATTCAGTTCTCATTTCACAACAAGGCAAAAATGCATAAAACCTCAAAACATCTTTATTAAAAATCTGATGTGTATACCATGACTACCTTGTATGGAATATTAAATTATATGAATTTTTGCTGCATTTTATTTAAACTTATTTCTTTGAAATTCTTTATTGATATTTTTCCTCCTTCAATTAATTCAGTTTTCAGTTCTCACTTCACAACAAGGCAAAAATATATAAAATCTCAAAATATCTTCATTAAAAATTGAAAAATATAAAACACCAAATACAGTTAAAACAAATATATATATATATATATATATATATATATATTACAAATGTAATTAAAGTTTCCACGCAAAAACAAGCAATTCGGTCAGCACGCAAGAAGGCAAATTTTTCAGTACACAAAACTGAAAGTTTACTTTTGATGCCACTCTTCAAAGAGACACAGAAGGTGCAGAAACTGACTTAATTCACTATACTCCTAAGATTGAAATGTAAACAAATATGGCTGCTATGGTAAAGAATTAGGCTTAGCTGCACTTAAACAACTTTTAAATTGTTGATAATTTTAAAATTATTGCATGCAGATTAACTAATGGCATAAAAAACTTTACTCAAAATCCTTAACCTAAAAACCTTAACTGGAAGATAAGAACAACATAATTCAATCCTTTTTAGAGCAAAAAATGCCCAATTTACCAACATACAAGAATAAAAAATTGAACTCGCGGAGCCAAGTAACAAAGTGGGTATAAATATATTTATATACTTCTGGTGCTGCTGATTGCAACCAAAAAGGGAGGTGCACAACTACATGTTATAGCAGTCCCATATATAAAATTCAATGTTCTGAGGCTACTCGTTTTTGAGTTATGCGAGATAAATACGTACGTACAGATGTCACCAGAAAATCTCTTCTGAATCCCTTTTAAATCATTTTTACAACCCGTTTCTGGAAAAAGTCTTTTATTCTGTCGTTCCATACAGATGTCACCCAAAAAAATTGTCAAATTAAATTTGATAGCGCTCAAAATGGATATTTTCATTGAAATAAGACACCTGAGAGTTTTTGCAATAACAATTAACAGTTTTAGAACATGTTATTTTATTTTATTACAAAGAATACTTTTATGATATTTATAAGGTAATATGCAATACATAAAATAGAGAAAAAATAATATATTAGAAAATACTTTGGAGTCTATGTTTCAATATTTAGTACAAAATATATACAAATAAATTTTAAAAAATGCAAGTGTCCGAAAACAAATGCTAGCCATTGTATATGGATGCAGTAATTCTGAATTTAAAATTAGTGGAAGAAAAACAACCTCTATACAAAAGATCTTTACAACGCATGTGTAAGCAAGCTAAGATCCTCCTTTACAACAACATACTGATCAACTATCAGTACCACAACTCTGTTGTCTCAACTGCTTATCATCTTTGGGATACATTTTCAACAGGAGCAAGAAACTATCAGCAAAGGTCAATATACACTATGTGTTCTTATTTGCACAAAAATATGACACTATACTATAATTCCAGAGGAGAATACAATTTCAAAATGAAAACTCAGTAGTAGTCCCTTTTATTGGAATTCAAGACAGATAATTTGTAATTAATTATATTTTACAATATGCATTATATTAAAAATATGTTATGGCATGTTACCTCCAATTTCCATTTTTCATCTGAATTTCACGTAAAAGAGCATATTATACATTACCACATTTATTTGTCTTTGCATTCAGTATACAGTAAATCATGCCATAGCAAACACTTCCACAGAAGACAAAAATCATTTGTAGCCATGGCTGATCTTAGTGATGATTATAATTTCTCTTCAAAGCTAATCTGATTTAGTGAAAACCATAGCACATCAGTATTCTTACTACATATATAACTGTACACCTTGCACCCCCCCACCACCAAAAAAAGGAAAGTTCTATATCCCCCACCATGCTGGACCAATTGCCCAAATTTAACTTGCGATTTCCTAGTCTCGAAAGTGTGACTTAGGATATATATTAGATTTATATACAGCATTATTCTAACATTGGTATTTTGCCACAAAATCAGATTTTTCTGAAATAACATATATTTTTTTTTCCATATTTCAATTCTAAGCCTCAAATTATGCCTACATATTAAAATTTCGTAATTTTTGGTGAGAAATTTTTGGAGAAATTTAAAAAAACTTATCTTGGAGGTTTTTTTTCAGTTTGCATCAAGAAAAATTCACTTGGCGAAATTTTTAATTTATGGTAACCAGTTTTCCTTTCCCTTTCACTATGCATGAGCAGAATAAAAAAGATGCATCATTTATTCTTTCAAATAATTTTAACAAAGTGCGTAAACCACTTTTGGCATTATAATCGCTTATAACAAATATGCCAAACTTCAAAATGTGTCAAAATATAAATTCATGTACATCTTAGGAAATTTACTTTAAGATGATGAGAAAATGTTGTAGATTATAACACAAAAGTTTTTTTGAAAATTAATAAAAATTATTTAAAAATACAAATTTAAAAAATAAATCATAAAAAACGGCCAAATTTTATTTGGAATGAACCTAAATTTCAGAATGTGAAAGTAAGAATCAAATAAGTTTAATAAAAAAATAATTAACATGAAGTAGCTAAAATTTTGAGGGCCAATTTTTTAAAAACTACTTGTACAATTTTTACAAAACTTGGCACTTTGACATCCTTTGAGCCGAAGAATCGAAATATGTAAAAAAATTGGTATATTATTTCAGAGAAAGTTCGATTTTACGTCAAATGTTAGAACAATGCTATACATAAATCTAATATACATTACAAGTCACACTTTCAAGACATGAAAAACACAAGTTAAATTTTGACAATCGCTCCAGTAAAACGGAAGATATAGAACTGTCCCTTTTGTGTGTGTGTGCAAGGTGTACAACATCTATTAAGTACCTTTTTCATTTCTTTAGTTTGCTTAAATTTCTGCTTGTGTGGCTTCAAGATAACACATATCATTTAAAATCCATTAAAATAAATTGATGTGAGGAGTAATTAATTAGTTGATAAATAATATACTTACAGCTCCTGCTCCTCCTGCAACAGTTTCATAATAGCCTACAGTTTCATCTCCAAATGTGATATTATTCATACAACCCTACAAATAAATTTATGATTGTCATACAGTGTGATTATAAATTGCTTTTACAAAATTAAGAGGGGTGATCCAGATGAGCAATAATTACCGTAGAACATAGGATCACATTCCACTCTGAGAGGCAGAAATGAGGAATGTAGAAACACATTGAGGAAGAAGGAGACTAATTCCTAAGGACTATGAACAATTAACTGTACGCAAATTTGCACTGTGAAAAAGCAGTATTTTGCTCTTAAATGGTACCAGAGAAAGCTGATCAGAGCATGTGGTGTCCTTGAAAAATAGCACAACATCATAGCTTCAAGTATTGCGTTAGTAACATCGTCCGAAACATTTCGTGAATGCTATGGTAGAGTACACATACGAGGAATTCGCAGATATTTGTCTCACATACAGTGAAGCAAAAGGGAATGGAGGTGAAGCACGAAGATTGTACGAACAGTGGTTTCCACTTGCCGGATTCCAAGTCATCCAACCTTCTCCAGTATTGACTGACGAATGCGAGAAACCAGTTCATTTGCCATCTCAAAAAGTAATGCAGGATGTTCACGAAATGTTTATGAGGTTGGAATTCTAATATTCCTCCTTTCTGCCTCTCAGAGTGGAATGCAACCCTATTTCTATGGTAATTATTGATCATCTCGATGGGTATTATCACCCCTCTTAATTTGTAAAAACAATTTAGAGTCACCCTGTATATTTCTTAATCTAATTCATATTTCAGGAACATGCTGTAAAGTTAAAAATAACTTTCACATGTAAATGTAGGAAAAAAAACTTTTTTGTACTCACTTGAGATGCTGCACATGTTTGAAAAGCTTTAAATATAACATCTACAACTCTCTGTGATGTTAAAACATTACCACCAACAACTGCAGCAGTGTCAGATGGGCATAGAATACAACCTTTGGGTATTAGTACTTTAACAGGAGCTAAGCAACCCTAAAATAAATCAATCAATAAATAAAGATAAATTTTATACGCCAAATACTAATCTCTTGAACCATTAAAACATTGCAGAACTGATGAAATTTATAATGATATTGTTATTTCAGTAAATTTATATTTTATAATGAAATAAATGAGTTCAATGTACTGCGTGCAAAAACACTTAACAGTGAAATTTCTAACAAACAAACAAACAAACAACAAAAAAAAAAAAAAAAAAAAAAAAAAAAACACTGCTCATCAAATAATGGACCTGCATTGTGAGGGAAAAAACTCAAAAGATCACTTTCAATATCATATTTACTTGCATATTTTCCCTCTCAGCATTTTAGAAAAAGGTGAAGAAAATTTAAGCATTCATGTAATTTGCAATTTCTTCAAGACATTCCCTAAGTATATTCCCCCAAATTTTAAAATGAATCTGTCCATGTAGTAGTTGTTTTCATCTTACTAATTCATCTGTTCATAGATTTGGAATAACTCATAAAGCAATAACATTGAAGAAAACAGGAATATCTAATGTTCCTGATGGTTTTCAAGATCACTGCACAAGGAAGACAGACAGAGCGGTGATGAAGATGACAACAGTATTCATGGCTGTATGCTGTAGCAGATGACATAGACAGCAGTTCTAGCAGCATTAAATGATTTGAGGCCTAAAAAGCAGCAGTGGACAACAACCGGTGCAGACAACAGTCACGATACAAGGAAGCAGAAACGAAGCTATTTTATTAGATATTATAATGTGAATAATACTATGTATAGTAGTGTGCAAATTAATGTGAACAAGAAGGAATTACCATATTTCTTCAGTTTGGAAGACCTAATTTACAGTTGATATTTAATTATGATTTGGCTCACCTGTTTACTATTTTGTACTGCACAGCTTTTAGGTGATTCAATGTTGTTTTCTTCAGGCTTTTAGTCCAAAGGGACTATTAATCTCATTTTCGCATTTTGCGTTGGTTCACTTTTTCTGTTGTTACTACCAAATACTATCACTCTGTATTATATTTAAAGAAATTAAATAAAGAAGAATCTGCATAAATGTACATATCTTTCTCATATTGTGAGAAAACAGTGGTACCTAGAGCCATTCAATTTTGAATAACGTACGTCTACACCTGAATATGGGCATTTGGAAGCCCAAATTTGGAGTGTGGAATTTGTTTTATTATCTATATCATATTTTATAAAGTATTTATGAGTTTTTGACTAAGAAATTCAGTGATTTCAAAGCGAGCAATGGCAACATCGTACAGGGAAAAAAACATTTTTTATCTACAGCGTGAGAGACTGTCTCAGAAATTCTAAAGATATGCTCTTTTAAATAGTTTCTATTTCATATTTTGTAAAACATTAAAGAATTTTTTATTAACAAACTCGATGATTTCAAAGCGAGCTATGGCAATACTGTACAACAAAAAAACATTTTTATCTGCAGCACCCAAAACTGTGTATTGACAATTCTTTTAAACATTTTGTGATATTGCTGTTGAATTGAATTTTATGATTTAAGTGCGAAGAACATGATAGTTAACAAGTAAAGGTAACACACAAAACGTTAAAAATCACCCCTTTGGGTATAATATAAAATCTGAAAGCATTCAGATTTTTTTCCCTGTATTACATGTCAAAAAAAGACATATTACAAGTTTTTAATGACAGACCTCAACTCCAAAGAAATGAAGTAAGGTAAGTAACATTAAGTTAACACTCTTCTGTGACACAAAGGCACATTACACCCTTCTATGACACAAAGGGTATTGCTAAAGTATGTAATGTAAGTTTGGATGTTACTGACAAAATGATCAGATGGCTTAATCAGGCAGTTTATCGACATCTACGGAAAGGAAAGTGTGGGAGAAAATTAAAAACTAGTGCAAGGGCTGACTATATTTTACCAAGGAAATTCAAACAGAATCCTACATTGACAAGCTTTGGCCTTCAAATAGATTTAGCACAGTTTTGTGTTTACAAATCCACTGTTTGTCACTGGTTACTAGAAGCTGATTGTAAGATTATCCAACCTGATTACACAAAAAATTACGTCAATGATGAAAAAGAAAGTGTGCAAAAAAATCTATCGTGTGCAAAAAATGTGAAAAATGGAGTAAAAAACAATGGAAAACATTTTATATTCAGAAGAAACTCATTTTGTTGTGCAAAGTCAGAGGTCGCACTACATCATGAAATCACACAGTGAGAAACTGTCTCCAATCGACCAATGTGTAAAATACCCCATTAAGAAAACATTTTGGGGGTGCTTTTCTGTTCATGAGCCACGATCACCATTGCCAATTGATTTAATGATAAATTTTGACAAATATATTGAACAGCATATTACTTTAACCCAAATTTGTATAGTTAGATGTTTGTTCAATCATTTGTTACAGAATTTTGTTTTATCAATTAACCATGAAATTCTATAAATATGTATTTTATACAGGCAGATATTTATAAATAATTTATTTATTTATAAATATCTGCCTGTATAAAATACATATTTATAGAATAGTCAATCTAATATATTTAAAAAATGAATCAAAAACAACTTACTTGATTAAGAGGAACATCATGGCCAACCATACATCGCAAGCAATAAATAATAGCTGACAGTGTGACGGCACGTGGTGTATTACAGTTTCCGCACACTTCATAACCAGTGCCAGTAAAATCAAAAACAGCACTTCCCTAAATCAAATCAAAGTTAAAACCGATGAATTTAAACAAGTAATACATTTTACCCTAAATCAAATAAAAGTTAAAATCAATGAACTTAAACAAGTAATAAATTTTGGCAATATTAATGAAACAGTGGCAAAACAATAATGAATAAATTTTAACAGCATTAAATAATTCAAATAAAATATGAAAAGACAAAAGTAAACATTGGGTCCAGCGAACCTGCGGGATTAAATAAATCTTTCTCAAAGCACACCTATTCTGTGTAAGTTGTTAAAGCCCAGTGTAGTCGTGCCTTAGATGGACTTCTTTATGTTTCCCAAGTTTTTTCCGAGGGGGGCTTTGATTCGGAGCCTTGGGGAAAAAATTTTTTTTTTCTTTTTTCGCACTTACTATCACACAGTTGATTTGTGATAGTATAGAAAGCAACAAACATATCATGTAATTAATCTTATAACGAAGAAATTTTGCAAAAGTTATTAGATGCATCAACTGGCAAAGAATGTATTGAAAAAAATGAGGATGGAAATGATAATGAATTTTTAGTTCACAAGATACAGATTCAAAATCAATAATGAAATGAGATGAGATAATACAAGAGTGAATAAAATGAGATAATACAAGAGTGAGAAAGACATAAATTGTTTTATTGGAATTACCGGAAACGAAAAAAAGAAAAGGGGGGGGTGAGATGCAGTGTTTGTCCAACAAAAAAACCACAGAAAAATTTAAAAGTACTTTGCCGAATGTGAAAATTATTGTATTTGGAACACATGAAAACACTTTTTCAATGTGCTGCTAACATTTGTTATTGCATCTGTTTTCTGTGTCTATAGTGCTAATAAAGAAAATAAGAGTCTATACAGAGTAAAGGTTATATTATTTTTTTTCCTATGCTAATGTCATATAAAAAGTCTCCATGGTTTTTTGCCATTAGATGGTGTTGATGCCAATACATCCAGCCAACACTCACCCAACTGTGTCAAACAAACATGTGCTTAAAAGGTGACACTCAGCTTCCACTGCTTGTGAAGATGGTTTTCTAATTTGTTGCTCATGTAAAAAGTTATATTGATCTGAAAATGAGTGAAATATCTGAAGTACGCTATCTGATGATTTTTTACTATAAAAAAAGGTAAAAATGCAGCAAAAACATGCCGAAAAATTTGTGAAGTATACAGCAAGAATGCTGTGAGTGAACGGAGGACCCAGGAGAGGTTTGCTCGATTCCGTTCTGGAAATTTTGATTATGATCCGAAAACTACGAGCTGCTGCAACCTGGCAAAACTATCAATTCTGCTCTGTGTTGTGCACAACTCGGCTGTTTGAACAAAGCAATCCAGAAAAAGCGACCAGAATTGGTCACAAATTGACAGGTTGGGAAGTTTTGATGCATCCATGGACCCCCAGACCTTGCACCGTCTGACTACCATTTGTTTTGGTCTCTGCAAAACTCTCTTGATGGTACATTTCCTTCAAAGAAGACAACTCGGGTCTTTTGAACTCAGTGTGCATGCTCATATAATTCACATGAGCGCGCATGTTCCCGGGTTAAGGATATGAGCAATTAAGTCATTAATACATATTTTAATAACATAAAATTTTGCAATCAAAGAATTTAAACAGCCAAAAACTCCCAAATATTTTTTCAAAACCTCTTACTCTAGATGTAAAAATCTACAAGCATGGTATACGAGTATTAATGCATAAATTAAAATCCTTCTCCTTTCCACTTACATTATACATACACTGAAATATTTAAAATGTGAAAACAATCACTGTGAAAGCAATTACATGTACTTGAGAAAACTAAAAAACTTATGCAGTTGAACTTTCTCTTTTAGCCTCAGAATCTGGAATATAAAAACTAGTTCAACTTCACTCCTTCTGAATTCAATATTACTTACTTAAAAGATAAATTAATTATTTAACTATGAGAATTATTATTATTATTTATATCATTAACTATATTAATTATTTAACTATGAGAAAACATAACTATCTTCCTATAGGAAAACCAGTCTCGGATGAGAAATGTCACACTCCTTCTGCATCGAAACTATCATTCTATTTATATAAATTATTTGTTTCGAAATTATTGTTCTATTTAAAAAAAATCTGATGTGTACACCACATGACTTCCTTGTACGGAATATTAAATTATATGCATTTTTTCTTGCATTTTATTTAAACTTATTAGATTGAATTAAACCTACTTCGCCAACAGCGCATAAACCACAATAGAATAAATGCATTCTTTAAAATTCACTTTGTTTACCATAGCGACACTCTGGCGCTAGGTTTACTTAACAGTATTACATTTCATTCATATTATAACTCAGAATGCACAAAATGTATATAATTTAAAGAATTATCTAATCGTTGCCACATGTTCTATTCAAATACTATAATAAAGCTAGAACTATGTATAAAAGAAATTAAGGAAATAAAACAAAAAAGAAACAATTTTTCACAGACGATTGAGTATTTCTCATTTAATTAATTCAGTTCTTACTTTGCAAGAAGGCAAAAATACATAAAAACTCAACATATCTATATTAAAAACTATGCGTAATCTCAAACGCTTATTTTCCTCGAAAAAATTCCAGAAAGAATTAAGCATGATTTAATTGGCAATAATAAATGAATGCGTTATCTTTGTTGTTTGCGAAGCTAAGTTTTCTCTAGATTGGCAACAAATCCACTAGTCTCCTGTTTCAAATATAAACATCAATGGCCGCCATAAAAACAGGCTTAGCGTCAATTAAAGCAAAAAATGTACAATTTACAAACATATAAGAGTAAAGAAACTGAGATCACTAAGCTGGGTAATAGAGTGGATGTATATATAAATATATTTATATACGTTTGGTGCGGCCGATTGCAACCAAAAATACGAGGTGCACATCTACATGTTATAGCAGTCCTATATACAAAATTTCAACGTTGTGAGGCTACTCGTTTTTGAGTTATGCGAGATACGTACGTACGCATGAACGTACACACGTTCGTACAGACGCCATGAAAAATTCTCTTCAGAATTAATTTTAAAGCAGTTTTATAATTTTTTTGAAGGAAAAGAGTATTCTATTCTGTCCTTACGTACAGATATCACGCAAAAACATTGTTAAATTGCATTCGATAGCAGTCAAAATGGATATTTTCATTGAAATAAGCTGCCTGAAACTTTTCGCGATTACAATACTTCCTTTTTACTTCTTACAAGGAAGTAAAGAGATCAAGTATTATGCAACTATTAAAAAATTAAATAACATATATATAAAATAAAAGTTAAATAATTATTTTATGTATATGTTATTTAATTTTTTTAATATTATGCTTCAGGACCACATTTATGTGTATGCTGGATGAGTAATGAATTCCAGAAGCATGTTTTGAGAACAAAGCTTTATTCTCGGTCCATATTTCCTCCATCACTCTGCATAGTGCATTCCAAGGCTTGCTGAAAAATATGAAAAACATTGTTAAATGTTTTGATATTTAACACATTTATGGATGTATAAATAGGTTGAAATAAATTGGCCTATGTTGGAAGGAGCAACTTGCAATGCTTATATGGCATTACAAGTTTTTAAATCCAAGATGTTAAACTCAAGGCTGTTGAAAGGTTGGCTATATCCTAGAAATGCTTCTGGCCAACCTCCTTTTTTTACTAATAGCCATTATAATACTAGTTCTTTCTTTTTTAAAGTTTTTCAACAGCTCCTTGAGAATTGCTTTTCCCCTTTCAGACTTTAAATTATAATTCTTCCCCATAGCTCTATAAAAAAATGAAAATAAATCGGAATATGGTATCAAAATTCTGTTTTATAAAAATAAAAGGTAATGTATTCAAAAACACTTTTCCTGCATCCATCTTTTTAAACTCTGTGGTGCAACAGCCCTAGTGGGCCATGGCCTGCAGTGCCCTGATATCTGCTATCTTGACCGTGGGCCCTGAGGTGCATGAGCATATGCCCTGGACAAACGGTCAGCATGTCACAGGGCCCCCAGTGTTCAGCCCCCAAGCAAACTTGGTACTCATTTTATTGACCCATTCAAGGGATGAAGGCTAAGTCAACCTTGCCCAGCTTGGGGATCGAACCCTGGACCTGTGGTGCTGCTGCATAATACACTAGCTGCTGCAACACCTGGCCTTTCTATCTCTTTAATAAAAGACAAATTTATAAATCGGACAAGCATTTCAATATGAAGAGATAAATGTTAAAATGATTACTTTTTATATAATTAATAAACATCTGTAAACAACTTCTTACCTCGTCAATATTAATTTCAATTTTCAGATTAATCACAGTTCCGTCATCCATATGATCAAAAGCAGTGAGAAAAGTAGTACTACTTTTTTGTAAAGTAGATTGGCCAATTTGCTTCAGCATGTCTCTGACTGCTAATTCTGCATTTTGCTGAAATTAAGATAATTCTTCAACAGAAAAACTCTTGGATATATAGCTAAAAATAATATTTCAATTCAAATTAGCATTTCAAAATAAAACTTATTTATACACATCTGAGTTTTTTATTACGATTAGCCAGAACATTACCACACATATTACAGTATAATAAATCAACATAATCAATATCATAGTTACCTACATACCACATGAAAATATTTCTCGATTGCTTTTGATGATCTACTCATCCAAATAATTTCAAAACACCTTATTCAATTATTTTTATTCAATGTTAATTAAAAAGAGGGGAAAAATGAAAAGAAAGGAAACCAAAAAAAAATTGAAGAATACCACACAAATTGGTGAGGAGTTTTAAGGTTATAATTTCATTGAAATTTGGTGCAGGAAAAAAAAATGTATTAAGGTGGAAATTTTTCTAACAATTCTGCAACTTGACAGGGTTGCCACTCAAACAGGAGAATGAAATTCCCTGACTTTTCCAGGTTTTCCAGGTGTGTTTCAAGAAAATTCCAGTCTATACGCGTAATGTACGTTGGCTGTACTAAGAGGTAAATTAATTATGATATTACTTGTATTGTGTAGCAAATTCACTTAATAAATCCCAGAGGACATTTATTCTTAATTATTCTTGGTATACTATGTTTGATAATTTTGTTTAGTTTTCCACTTAAGAAACTTAATAAAATTTAAGATATATATTGGATAACAAATGTATGTTTTATTTAATTATACTCATGATCATCACCAGTTTCAACACAAGGCTAATCCGGTCCTTATAAATCACAATGCAATGCTAAATAGTTAGGTTAGATTTAGGTAAATTTAATTTGCGTGAGGTATGTTCTTAAAAGGCACCTTAACACTTGAAAACACAAATATAATTATAATAGTTGTTTTCTCACTGAGATTGAAATTAGAATCTTCCCAATCTGGAATAAAATAAGGCTTTTTTTTGCAGACATTCTGCAGCTAACGAAAGAAAGAAATCTATTTTAATAAATTGAGGATTTTATATATTATTTCGCAGCATACATAAGAAAAAATATGTGCATTAAATTTGTATTAAATTTGGTATGTCATCATACTGCTATAATTAATTTCAGGATTATGCCAGAGAAAATTTCCTGAATTTGGAAATATTATTTACTAATAATAAATAATTTAGAGGAAAGAAGCGACATTAATTATATGAATAACATAAAAAAATAATACTTAAAAACTGAATTAGAATAATCAACGATATTTTAGCGAATATAGTTATATTACAGGCTAGCCTAGATGACTGATTACTATTTTTTTATTTACTGAAAAATGGCAAGGTATTTATTAAAAAAAAAAAAAAGGTTTAAAAGATTTTGCGGTAAAATTCTGTATACGGTAAGACTTTGCACGATTTTTGAAAATTTTCGCCAAGACCAAAAGGACCCGTTTACTGCGCATCAAGATGTCGCCAAATCCCATTATTATTCTAACCAAAGAAAGTCTATGTAAAGAAGAAAGGTTCCATATAAGTAAAATGCTAGTACGCCGCTAGAAATGCGGAGGGAAAATTTGCCAAGGGATTTGCGACGGAACCTGGCGGCTAATTATAACATGCGGTACAGTGTCGTTTCTAGTGTTACGACCGCTCGCATCTTAGAGTGCAATCCCGACTGACTAATCGAGAAAATAACTATTCGTTGTTAGCGCGTGCATGCCCACGTTAGTATTTCATTTTTGCGATAATGCTTATCACGTGTTACGTCGCCGCGTTTGAGACAAAAGCATCTTGACGTGCGTGCACGTCTTTTAGCGCAAGTGGGTAAGAAATTTTAAACGATATTCATTTTATGAACTCTTGATAACGTGACCTTCGAACTTCGACACCGGTTTCGAGCTTTGGCAACAGATATATCAGACATGCACAGCGTTTTCCCTCTATGATGGAACGGAGCCACAGCCACGTCTGTTGCAGAGAGGTTTTTCCTTCTTTACAATACATATTCTTTGATTCTAACCTCATGTACCGTATACTAGGATTAAACCCATTTTTGTTTTTATACGAGAAACAGGTACTTCTTTAGTTCATGCACTGCACATGCGATTCTCGAGAATATTGGAACCAAAGTTGCTTTGCCTTTCTAAAAGACTCAAATTGGAGCTGCGAAATTGGCTCTAGCCAGCTACCCGAATGACACTCACGGATACATAGTCGCCAAAAAAGTTACCTCTCCGACGTCGGCGCAAAAATCGCTTTTTTGGCTGGATCGTTGTAGAATTCCCTGCTTTTCCAGATTTTGACAAAATACTTAATTCCCTGACTTTTCCCTGAATATTTTGGTCAATTTTCGAATTCCCTGACTTTTCCCGGTTCTCCAGGTTTTCCAGGTAGCGTGGCAACCCTGACTTGAGCATTAAATCAGAAAAAGCACATGCATCAACAGGCAAATGTAACAGATTAAAAAAAAAAAAACTTTCAAATACAACTTACAAAGAAAATCACTCATGTAGCTGTTATACATACGGAAAATGCATGAAAACCCATACAACTAATGCAATTCACTGAAAAATGAAATTTAGATGATGCAGATTGTGATAAGTAAACTTTAGCTTTATTTATAACTTGAAATGTATGCTATCAATGATTCAAAACAATCAGCTTGAGAATATGACATTTTATGAAATAAAACCCCCAATTTTAAAATTACATTTACTAAAACAACAATCTAGGAAACTTAATACCCACCAAACTAAATTATACATAAATGAATAATGTGATGTTTTATTCAATAATTAATTATTTCTTGAAGATAATCAATAGATTTTATTAAACAAAAGATCTGATTTACATTAAGATAAATAAAAAAATTAACATCTTTAGAAAAAATATGTATAACATTACAAGTATGTTATACAGTTTTCAATAATTGACATGTAAATACATTACAGAATTCTTTGATATTGATAGATGGAAAAACAGTTTGTGACATTAGTTTATTATGGAACTATAAATGAACACTTTCTTAAAAACTGTAATCAGACTGAAATAATTCATAACTCAATATAAAGCTATCATCTAAATCCAGCTAGAAACAGATTTCTAACAGACTTACCATTGTGGCCTTTGGGGCAATTAACAAGCAGACATACTTGCAAAAAGAGGTGCCAGCTTACTACAGCCATTTCTTATTGGAGGATTAAAGCATTTTTAAAAAGTTTATTTACGTCTAATATCTTACGAGGTCTTCAGACTCATATAGCCTTAAAAAAATTGGAGAATGGTAAGTCTTTCTCTTATTCCCGATAGTCCAAGACTCGATGCAATTGCGGCTTTCTGTCTGACTACAGGACATGATTGCCTTGTGCCCACCTGCACAAGATTGGCATTTTAAGAGATCCTATTTGCCCACTTTGTGATTCTGGAGAAGAAACGCACAGAGACTACCTGCTTCGATGTGGGGCTCTTCATGGTCTTACAGAGGAGTCGAGATACTGGGAAGCAAGAACGCTTCTTAGGCAATGACTTCGGTCTTTTTGTTCTTAGTTCTATTGTTTGTAAAATTTTAGTTCATTGTAACTTTTTGCCTAGCCATTGGAAACACATAAATAATAAATAAAACAAAATCCATAAGTAAAAATTCTGCATGTTTGTGATTGCTATCTTGAACAGTATAGTGCAGAGGTGGGGAATGTGAGACCTTGAAGAGATGCAGCCTACATGAGTTTCTTGTACAGCCTCTAGCTCTTGTAATAATTAAAATTTAATTAATAATGACAGTACGATGAAAATTACAATAATTTTAAAATAAATAGAATTAAATAGTGTGATGTCATCTATTGAGGATAACATGAATTAGAATGTTGCCTGCTTTGGACAGACATACTCACTTGTTTTCTCTCAGCACAAAAAGTAAAACTTGTTTAAGAATGCAAATTGCAGATGCTCATTTAAAGGATCTACTATGGCTGTACATTATGAAACTTGATCTAAATATTCAATTATTTTCAGGCAAGAAAACAAATGCAAATATTCCACTAAATTAACTTTTCCTTTGGATTTTAACATTATTTTACATACTGTTCCTATATTGGTTTTTCATAATTTAATATTATTACTTTTCTATTGTTTTTCTGTATAATGTAATAAATTTATTGAAAATTACTTCTACCTTTATTATTTTTATATGAAACAGAATTTAAATATATGTAGTTGTTTATTAAAAATTATTAAAGATTAAAATTATAACAAGTCAAAATCCTATTTTATGCGAATACAAAAATATTTTATATTGTAAACTTTTATTTCAATAAATGACTTGATTTTTTTGCATAATTTCTAAAAGATGCAATCAAGTAATAAAAGTATAATGATTCACAAAAGGTCACATTTATATCAATTTATGTGGCCTCCTTTATCACTGCTTAATTTTATGGTGGCCTCTCATGGTAAAAAGTTCTGCACCTTTAGTATAGTGCTAGGTAAAGGCTGCATTCCCCACAGTTAACATTTTCAATTATGAGAAAGATAAATGATTAATGGATTTAGTTGCTGACAACAAATATTTTCAAACAAATACCTCTCCCGAAAGAGAAAAAGCGATGATGATGTTAAGCACATTTTAATCATTTACTTGAATTCCTGTAAATAAATTCTGTTCTTCATTCTTATAGTTTTATTTTTATTCTTATAGTTTTATGTTCGTATGTTACATGTTTTGTAAAAATAAGTATATAAAACCCAGAAATAAAACTTAGATAATTTAATCACTTTTATTTTTCATCCCATTACTTTACATTTAAGTTAAAATAACTCTAAAAATGATAGTCATTCTGAAGAATACATGTATAGAAAATAATGCAATTAAATCAGACATTGTAACATTTTAGAATACTTTTTACCTGTATGTAACCCATATACGATTGCACAACATCCAAACCATATTCTTTAATAAGTTCATTGACAAGCGTAATTCCCTGAAAAAAAGTTTTGAATAAAGGAATAAGATAAAATATTAATAAAATATCATCAAAATAAGATGTAAAATTGGAATATTAAGCTCTTAAAATTTTTATAAAAAATGCATTCTTCAGGAGACACTCCCCACAGTATCTGATTATCTCAGCACAGTATCTGAATATCCAAATCCTTTAAATTAAGAGGCCAATGTGGACATTCCTTTAAAGTGGACAAAAGCTTAAGTCCATAATGGAGTGTGTTCAGATGAAGGCTTTTATAGTCACACTTTTCATAACATACCATGATTATCTATGTACTCCTGTTAGAGTTCCAGTCATATCAGGCAGTCAACCAGACCTTGCTTATGTCAGTATAAGGATTTTGCATAAATGTCCTAACTGTTCAACTTTACACCAGCCTGGAAGAACCAAACAATCATAAAAAAGCAAAGATGAACTGACATCCAGTCAACAATTAGTTCATTAGGTTAGTTAGGTGTGCATTTTTACAGAAGCAAAATTTTACCTCTCCTGATCTGCTGGTTTAAATTCTGTCCCTCAGACACGAAAGAGGCTAATGACTTTCATGCCTTATGACTATGTCAACTGTGATAGCTATACCACCATCTGAATTTTTCCCACTAACAGCAAGTTTCAACTGTGAACATTTTTATTTTACCAATATTTTTTCATTTTGTAACTAAAGATTCAAGGATGGAGGTCAAACATAAAAACAGTAAAATGTTAGTTAATAATTACATTTTTTAATGATATGCTTTATTTCACAATAAATAAATAATGTTCTTTGAAAACCTACTTAGCTTTAAAATAAATGTGGAATTTTGGTTACATACATTCAGTAATGCATAAAGCAGTAATGAAAGTTAAACTGACAATTTTTTTTCCCTAAACTCAGTATCAAAGATCAATCAAAGCATTTTTATAATTATTGGACATTTCAAAAAATTAAAAGTGAAGAAAAATAAGAAATTATTGATTTTCTCCCTTCACCTTAAAAAAATTTCTCTTCATTAAAAGTTTTATTATCGATGGAAAAATTCCAAGACAAGAAACACTGATTACTTATTTGATACATAAAGAAAACTATGTTTAAAGTGTTTTTGTATAATTATTTCCAATTTTTAACTTTTTAAATTTCTTCTAGACTGCTGCAAATTATTTTCACTGAGCAGTGATTCAAAAAAAAAAATAAATAAAATGCCTTAGACTCCTAAATATCTGACTTTTATTATAATGATTTTATCAGAGATGATATTTTATTTTTACATTGAAGTCTCAAATCTTCACTATAAGAAGATATTGAATTACCTATGTTACACTGAACACATCATAAAATATAATTTGAATCCAGCTAAAATTAATTTTGAGCAATTTCACTTTTTATTCAATATAATCAACAAACAGTCCTTGTAACCAGACTGCACAAAATGGGCACTAAAACTTCCCACTGAATTCAATTTTGTATTGCTAGAAGACCAAGCTCATAACATTAACTGGCTTCAAATCATGTGTGTGGTAACTGAGAAACATCATAATACTGAGCAGAAACATCATAATACATACATAATACTGAGTAGAAATGGCCCATTTTTGAATTTTGCTTACATATGCTGCCCCAGAAGAAAAAAAAAAAAAATTCAAGGTAAATGAATATTTAAATTTGAGCAATGCATTGTGTAAAGATGACTATAAATATATCACTATAATTTAAAATATTGAAAAAAATTGAAACTTTTTAGATATAAATTTAGCAAATCAATAAATAATAATTTGTCTTCCAAATGTGTTACCTCGAGATTATTTTACCCACAATTAGGTTGTAAATCTGCCTAAAGGGGGCAATACATATTCAGTGACACAGATAAACTAGTCAAGCTAAGGTAAAAATAATATCAAGGTGGACTGGTAACTATTTATTGATTTGCTAAAGAAAAAAAACTTCTGTAATTAATTTTTATCATGAATATAACACACTAATAGTTCATATTTAACCCATTAATGAGCCCGCCCCTTGGAACGAAATGCTTTGAAAATGGCCGTGCTGTCAGAAAACAAACCTATCCAAAAAAAAAAAACGCTTTCGTTTTCTGAAATCTCTCTAAGATGGCCCAGCCTAGGGCAGTATGTTTGCTTCCCCTTAGTGTGATGGATAAGCCATAAAATTGCCTCCCCGCTATTGAATGGCAAGAAGTACTTCTTGGCTTTAGTTTCGTCTCTCCTCTTTCTTTGTACTTGTAATAGTTTGTAGACTTGTTTCTTTTAATATGTGACGTCCGAATTTTCCGAAATCTTTTTAGGATTTTAGCTTCCAAGCTTGTAAATTTTCAATTATTCGACATGTTTTATTGGGCAGTATTTTAAGAAAGATCATTATTTATTTTGTTACACAATTTTTTTACTATTTAACTTATCTATTTTATTTAGTTTTAGTAGACCAATTTATTTTGGGAAATTAAATTTTAATCCATTCTTTTACCGACTCAGTTTTTCATCACATTATAAGTCCATATATATTTACGATGAGAGTACAATATTTATGAGGAATTTTTGGAAAATTTGGCATATGTATTTATATTTTAGCATTGAATTTTTTCCACAAGTTGTTCGTTAACAGTCGAGCTCATCCTCGTAAACGCTTGATCTTTTCAGCATGGAATTGGCAAGCAATAATCTTCCTAATGTTTTTCGGGATTTTATAGCAATTTCTAGAATTTTGGCGGTTTTCTACAAATATTTTGGTAAGTTTAGCTATTATACAGTTGCTACTAATGTGGAATTTAAAACCAAAAATGTATTCCTTCGTTGATTTGAGAGATCGCATTTCGAATTTAAACGGAAGTTTAAATGAATTTGATACAATCTTACCACCAGACCAGAAAGAAGTATTTCTCTGTGTTGGATGGATTTTCTCACTTTTCCGCATTTTATACATTAAATGCATAAAGCAGACACACACAAAAATCCCTTTTGATTCTTACGGTTTCAGTTAAATGAATTGTAAAATATATATATTTTTTAAACTTTCAAAATATTTTTGCTTGTATATGCATAAATTTAAAATCGTGGGACTTCCCACGTTCACAATTATATGACTACATTGCAGTATTTAAGCTTTAACTGAAATTATAGTACTGAAATGACATAGAATATAAGAATAATTATAGTCAATTTAAATAAGTTTCTATTCTATCGTAGTCTATTTAAATAAATTTCTATTTTCATTTAAAATTTGTCATTATTAGCATCTCCCGCAGTTTTATGCAATCATAGGATTTTCCGAATTCTATTAGGTCCTTAGCATAATTTCAAGGCCTAATAGAAAAGTGATAATATGGAAAGACTATGTCTTAAGTACCAATAGCCAAGTATTTGTAATTAAATAATTAAATAAAAATAAATATTGAATACCAGCCGCTTTTTTTTTATTTTTAGTCATATAACAAAAGATAAACAAGAATACTATTACATCTAAGAATTATTTAGTAAATTATTTTGCTAATTTTATATGAATGAGGAAACATGGTAAAAATGTTTAAATGATTGAATTCACCGTTAAAAATCAAACAAACCCCAAAATTCCTTTTTCCCAAAACTGCGTAAAAGTTTTGATTAAATATGATTTGAATGAGTTTTCCAATTCTGTTTTGAGTGATATAAATATTATTTATTAATTAGTATAAGTTTTTATATTATAACTTAGCAGAATATCGTTTACCGTTAAAAATTATATCTAAAAGAATTAAATTTTGTAAAAGAATAAAAAATATAAATTAACTGTTCCATTTTGTCCTTTATGCATCTATTTATATAAAAATGGAATATCTGGCTAGGGAAATTTATGACTTGTATATGAACTAAAAATTGGTATCTTGACAAAACTTGTCAGATTAGAATAAAAAGCGTATATTCTGTGATATTAGTGTATTAATCATACTTCTGTATACGTAAATGCAGTTTATAATTACCAGCATAAGTATCATAATGGATTTTATTAAAACGGCAAAAACTGAATGCATGATCCTAGCATTATCAAACTACGGCTCTTTATCCCGTTAAGTATTGCTTGGGTCGTAACCAACACGAGTTTTATTTTTGAAATATTATTCCAAATAAAACAGGAAGCGTTAAACGATATGCATTTTAAACAGTTTTACTTTTTTTATATGCATAAAAATGTTAAGTAGCTTCAAATTGTACTTCCATTTCTGAAACTTCTGCAGTACTATTTTTAGAACAGATCCAAGGACTTTAAAGAACGCAAGTACATTTTTTAGTAATATGCAACGTTAATGATATAGTTCAAATGTTATTGAACAGCTGTACGATTTGTAACTGGCACTGGAAGAAGCAAAATTTATTGATGATCCAGTCTTCATTTAATGAATTAATAGAGAATGATACAGGGTGAGCTGCTGGTCAGCATGTTCGTTAAGAAAGTTAAACTACTTTCTTTTTTCCCACCGACAGTGAGGCAGCCAAACCACTGGGGCTGTTAGCATAGGCAAACTACTATTTGCTTGTACAAAAACTGTATTTAAAGCTTACAGCTTATTTTAAATAAATTTCGCATACTAATTACAGCTCTCCCAAAAAGCTCTGTTTTCTATCTTATTTGTTTTAGATTTCAGATTAAAGGAAAATAACCAGTTCTGTTTCTCAGAGACGGGATTCCTGCCTGTTTGTTTTTTGTGGTTTTCTATATGTGTAACCCAGTTTCCCACTGAAAGGGCTCCACGAAGGCCCATAGCTCTCGTAAATAAATAGTGGAAAAAAATACAAATTCATGTAGATTTTATGTAAAGTAACATCGATTGATCGATGTGTATCTTTTGCATTGAAGAGGGGGAAAAAGAAAACTGCAGTTTTTGACACCATTAGGAGTCATACATTAAAAAAAAGAGATTCTTCTGTCTAGTAGAAAAGGTTATGCTATTAGAATATGACAGAGTAGATGTGGGCTATTTGCATAAGGTGAGGAATGCTTTCGTGAAGGATTTTCATAGGAAAGCTGACTCGTATTCGCATTCCACATGTGGAAAACCACAAAAACGAATCATGCGCTCAACATTTTCGCCTGGGATCGAATACCGGTTGAACTACCAGTATTCGGCTGCCACAGATAGGACTTCTACACTTACAAAGAGCCTTTCGCTTAAGAACTGTTTATCACCTCTTTCCTTCCCCGATGTTAGGCTTTTTGTCATTACTAGGGGACGTTGTTTACTGTTGTTTGATTTCAATGAATAAAGGCAAAGCAGACAAAGCCTCTCAACCTGAAAGATAAAATGCCTTCAGGTAG